TAACACACTTTTATAATCATGATTAATGTTTCTTTATACTATTTACTATTTAAATCATCTAAATTTTTCTATTTATGTTTTATATGCATTTTATTCGAATTTTCAATATAGGTATTTATTTATAATAAACACCAATCACAACATTTAAAATGTAAATCAATGCCACAATGGCGTTTTGTTTGGCATTTGGTCTGATTAACAATATTAGACTTCATTTTACTCAATTAAAAAAAAAGCGTTACATTAACACGGTTGGCGGCAAACATACCGCTTTCATAATCTGGTAAACTGCAACTCTGAAATAATATTTCCACGTATGTTGGTATCCATCATAATGATGCCGGTAGGGAAGTTCATTGTGTGCACACACCGCCGCTCGGAATATAAAAGCGAGCGAAATTTGTGGAACGGCTGTGAAGTTCGTTAAATAGTCAGATTTTCACTACGCGTAGGGAATACGTGCAGAGTCAAAATTTGGCTCTGTTATTTCCTTAGAAGCGATTCCTTAGTATTGCGTGGTCTTTTTAGTAGTTCTACGTATTACGAGATCATGAAATAGCTACTTTAGCGTGACAGTCGTAAGTAAGCACGGGCGTAGCCAGATTTTAGTATCGGGGCTGTTCAAGAAAATAAGACAGCAGAAATAAGCCTAAAGTGACAGGAACATGGAAAAATATTAAGTACCTACACATTTCTTACTTTTTATTATTAGAAATTTACAGCGGGAAAAAATATCGTTCATCGATTCAAATTTCGACAAATTTAATCCTGCGGATTAATTTAATCTTAATCGGTAATAACACTAGGGCCTACACTTAAAAACACTATTCGTACAATTATTATTTAAAATACAATTGCCGCAATATAAATGCTATTCGTTTTTGAGTTTTGAAAATGACTTCATTGAATTAGATTTCATCTGCATTATCCTAAACTATAAAATAGAAATTTGTACGCTGCTTGAGCTGAGACACCTAAATGTCATTTCGCATCCTTTAGTTCGTAATAATTCTTAGGAACGAGGAAATCTTTGCTCACGTTTGCATAAAACGTATACAATATTAATGCACTAACGCGTAGGCGAGTCAAGAAAGGCTTACTATAATGAGCTGCAGCCTTTGTGGAGAGCTGAAATATTTTCCTTTTATAAAAAAAAACAATGCACAATGTAAAGCTGGATCGTGGAAAATAGTTTCTGGGTGTAAATTATCTAGCTTTATGAAAACATACGGATGGCGCTTTTGCCTTTGTTTTCATATTTTTTATGCGACAGTTAGTTGTAATTGTCGTGTAATTAAAACAAGGCATTTGCCTCTTACATGGCGTACACATTTTGTAACCATTTGAATTCGTTTCGCTATATTATTTTTACGAACACTAATGACTAAAAGGTGTGCGTCACCGTCAAAGTTCAGAAATCAACATTTTCTCTGCTTCATATTTTGTCCTAGATTTGATATAACTTTTTCTTTATTAGGGGACTATAGGTCAAGGTATAATTATAAGAGTATATTTTATTAAAAGTTATTTAAGGAGAAATAAACGTTCTGTATATTATTATGCATATTTTATGATGGCTATCACAATAAATTGTTAGGGCCATAGAAGAATATTAACATTTCAAATTATTTATTATAGCCAACCCTCGTGAATAGCTAATTTTTTGACTTGAGGCGATAAAAGTTACCCCTTTCGAAATGCAGTGGCGGGTAATGTCATGAAAATTAATAATGGTTGAAAATCCCCAAGGAATTGAGCACAAAATGAAGCAATAAGGGAGCCTACCACCGTTGCATGTAAAATAAATTATGCATTAAGCACGGCTTTGGTGTAGCACTTTTACTACAATCTCTAATTCGTTATGAAACAAATACGTAGCGCATTAAATTAACATGACCTAACTAAATTGATGACTTATATTATAATGGTCATAACAGAACAGATATCACGTGAGTTAGCTGGAAACCCTTCATTGAACAGGAAATTTAACATTTCTTCTTACATCTCATTCAACGCCGGTTTGTTGTTTGGACGCTCCCTTAAAGACATTAACAGGACGTATTAACGAAATTGCATCATGGATATGAAATGTACGTTAACAATTAAATTGTAAGAAAATGAATAATCCATTGATTCGGCACTTTTCTCCTTTTACCATCACTGCAAAACACTCGCTTATTGATAGTCAAAATACAACCACTGCACCGATTCGGAAAAGAAAACTCACCAGTCCTGAGAAGAACCGGCGAAAAAAACTCAGCGGGCCATTTTTTTACCATTTATTTGACAGTGTAAACATGTTTTACATCGTGTGACATAAATCGTTGTATATTAAATACAATAAGAAAAGTCCGATTGAAAGAGCCTGGAGCCATCAATTCATTCCCAGAATGTGTTATCATTTAAATAATCATTAATATATAATAATAATACATTAATAGCATATATATATATATATATATATATATATTATTTATATTATACTTACATTTTTTTTAATTTAGCTAGTAATACATTTGAACGTTTTCTGGGATTTTATTGTGGAAACGCATTAAAATCCCAGAAAACGTTCAAAATGCACTTATTCTACGCAGTCTGCTTGTCCCTTCTGTTCATGTATATCATTCAATTTGTCCAGGTTCACTTGCGAATCGATCGTTGTGTTGTTTGGTAGAATCTCCAGTAAAAACAATTCCTTTGGAATCCCATGTGATATATATCGGTTTTCGATATGCTTTTAACCCGCTCATTTTTTTTATTCCATGATCACTTGCGTATAACATTGTAGTGGACAACCCATTTCTTGTTCCCAGTGATGATGCGCTTCAAAAATGGATAGTTGTCCTGACGTTTTTGTAAATACAAACACAGACGTCAGCTTTGAGATTAAACTTACGCATTTCAAATGATGATTTATTGTTCTGATTCGCTGAATTGCCAATTACCTAATGCCTTAATTGTGTCTTCAAGTAACTGGCATTCCAGAACATGGTGCACCTTGAATATCAAAATTACCGAAACTAAATTTTGTAAACAAGCTTTGACACTTGTATTCTGTCGATACACCTCTACATACCTACACATCGGAGATTTTTATTAGGAGTCATTCATATTGTGCGTGTATATTATTCGTGTCTCCATTAAAAAATACAGTAATTGGATATACACCTTACCATCAAGTATAAATATAGTCCTCGTGTTGGCTGTTTTTCCTGCCATGATTTTTGCGTCAAGTCAACGTTCCTACGACTCTAGAACACTTTGTTATTTTCGATGGCGAAGGCAAGAGAAACGATGGCTTGACTTTTATCCCTTGGAGGAGAGGCAAAGCCCGCCTTGGGAGGCGAATGACGTAGCCGCAGACACATTGGCTGAGAAAGTTATTAACAAACCTGACTCTCTTAGACTATATATACGATGCTATAGAAACATAGCCCCTTAAAATCCCTCGATCATGCAATACTAGATGGATATCCATTGAGCCAGCTGTGTGTCACATTTTGGAACAATGGAACGATTTGGAAATCGTGTTTCAAGTTGCCAGAAGCTGCGAATTGTTCGCAGCTTCTGGCAACCTGAATGGCATCAACTTGAATGGCATTGGCGAATGTGAATGTTAATGACATAACTGTTATTTATGATGTATAGTGATCCCGTAAAATATTTATATTTAATCTATTTCAAACCAATCGTACAGGAAGTACAAATCTTTACATGTAATAAAAATGTAACTGATCGTTGTCTGTACATTGAAAATATTTGAGAAAAACAGTTATTGGGGGCCTTTATTATTGATTGTTAAAATTTTTGTCTGTTTGTCTGTGCTTTTGTGCGCGCTAATCTCAGAAAGGGCTTAACCGATTTGGGTGCAACTTTCACTACCGGCAGAATTCCCAAGATGGTATAGATAAGGGTCTTCGTGTATTATTTGTGTCACGAATTAGTATGTGGGTACTTTTTTTTACAATTGTAAATATTTACTTACACGCTTCACCACAACACCTCTTTACACATTCACACAAACTTTTTAGATATTGAAAAACGGAGTTTGCTAACACAGGCGTAATTTGCGTAAATGGATGCTCTAATGTGTAACTGTCTGTAGTCACTAACATTGTTATAGAAATAATGTTTCTATTGTATTTGGATTTGATTTTAAGGCTCTTTCTTTCTGTGTTGGCATATTTTTAGTATGTACCGAAAAAATATTTTCTCATTTTATGAATGAACATTTGGCATTAAATATTTTTAGAGCTGGTTGTATCCATTGTATCCGTGGTCAAGAAATAAATAATAAAAAAAAACATTCCGTCCGACAGATCACACAAGTTCACGAACTGCGCACTTAGGATTTTTTGGCCTAAATTTAGGAAAAAAAAATGGAAGTTTTTAGGTGGTAATTTTTTTGGGGATATAAAAAAACTACACAAGACTATTTCATTTTATCACATATGTTAGATGGTATAAAAAATGGTAACTTATTTTACAGTGATATGACCCTACACGGCGGTCACGCGGCAGTTCGCTGTTGCACGAATGTGCAGGTCCCTCCGGGGAAGTGCCATGAACTCACAGAAGACCGACGTGAAAAGAAGTGTGAATACTTCTGCGTTTCGTCTGGTTAGTGAGGTAGCCGGGGCCCACTTTATTAAAATGTGGAAATGCATCTGCAAATCTACAGGTGTTGCAAATGTACATGGGCGGCGGTTATCGCTTAACATCAGGTGGACAGGCAGTTCGCTTGCCTCCTTCTCAGTTAAAAAAAAATAGGAAGTTTTGTATGAAATTAGTTAATTTTAATGTTTTGAAATAGATTTAGGAGTATTGTTTTTTAACAGTTGGTAACACTGCAGAAGTCGTGAGGAAATGTCAAGAACTCAAAAAAAAGTTTGAGGTTTGAGGATAGAGTTAGAGGTTATATCAATATATAAGTTTAACGTGCATGCAAATAAATCTGTCTTCTTTTAATTTATATTCAACTAAAGAAAACTATTATAAAAATGAAGTTCTTTGTAAAGAATTCGGGCGTAAATGGTGAACGTGTTGGAATTTTAACCGAATTTGTCAAAAAGCCATCAATTGAGATTGAAACTCCAACTGCCGCTTATCTTACGCAGGTAATATTATTTATTTATTATAATAATACATATGCAGTAATAATACTTGATAGTGATATACATAAAGATTTAGAAAATACACAGTGGAGAGCGAAATTGGTACTTTTTGGAAAAGGTTTTTCCCCGAGCAACTGTTAATTTAATGTCATTACAATTCTAACGAATTCAAATTAAATACTACAATAACGAGTAAATTATTTGTTTATTAATTTTAGGGCGGCAGTGTAGTTCATCTAACGGCAGAGGTCTTGGCTAAAGTTTTTACTAACCCACAGCTTTTGTGGGTTCCTCTATCTAATTCTATACATTTAGAAAATGGATTGAAAGCGCAAGGGGAAGGTGTTGCTAAATTTGCAGGTTTGCAAGATTATGTTACATGTGTCACACTGCAGAATATGAATGAGGTTGCACAAGCTGGTCATTTTGAAACAGACAAGGTACCTTTATGGACTAAACATGGAAAAAAAATGATATCAGCTGACAGGTAAAGTTTAAACATGAATTACCAAAATAATATCCAGTAAAAGTTACAGAGATGTTACAGACATTCCCTTTTATAATCTACAAATATTTTATATCATAAAGAAATTTTACTGAAATTCAAATTATGAAGTAAAATCACGGGTCACACCTAATTTTCACAGAAAAAAATATCAAAATTAATGCTTACATCGCCCAACATTAACATTACACTTCTAATGAACCTTATTAGTCCACCTACAATACAGGTGTGATTGGTGTATTCATAACTTCAGAATTTCAATCTTTGATTATGTTACATTATTACTTCAAAATACTTTTCATTATAAAAAAATGGGAATGCCTCCATTCTTGACCTTATATTTATCATATTACCTAAAATGTCCACATTTACTAAAAAAAACTATAACATTGAATGATTGTTTTAGTATGAAAATTTCTATTTCTTTAATATTTTTCCCGAAAAATTCTTTTCTAATACTAAGCCTAGAATTAAATATTGTTAGGCACTTAAAATTTAAAAATGAAGTAAAAAAAAAATTACAGATATATGGACCTTATGGAAGTGTTCAAACCAGATATAATTTTGGCGATTGCAGATGGTCGTACATCACTTGATGAGAGCTACAAACGGGTTGCAAAATCTGTTCACAGAACTGCCAATATGTTGAACACATGTGTGCAGAGATATAAAAAATCCAAAGAGCTGAAGAACAGTTGTCTTGTAGGTTTGTAACATATTTATATATTTGAACACTATTGTAGTAACTAGTACAAACAGCGAGCTTAATGGGATAAGGCATGTTCTACCAGCAAACCAAAAAGTTAGAAAATATATTATATGTAATAAAATTTTAATGGAATGTACTTTATTTCATAGGATTGTGAGAATTATAAGCTTCCAACCATAATTCTATTATTTCTCATCTTTTTACATTGATGTTTTTTTTTGGTATCATCATCATATCAGCCATACGACGTCCACTGCTGAACATAGGTCACCCCCATTGACTTCCACTTCGACCGGTCGTTAACGGCCTGCATCCAACGTGTCCCTGCGATCTTGGCTAGATTGTCCGTCCACCTTGTGGGAGGCCTTCCTACGCTGCGCTTGCCATCACATGGTCAACACTCTCTTTTTTGGTATGTCATATCTCTATTAATACTCAGTTATGCTTCCACCTAATACAAATGTTTTAAATCTTCAAAATGTGAAAGCATGAACAGTGTGGCAAGTGTCATCTCTTGACGATGCATTAGATTATGTGATTTTTATTTATTGTTGGCCAAATAGTAGATATGATCAAATTGATAAAGTTCACAACAAAATTTAGATCTGACAAAGGCATTATTTTTTTCATAGTATGTCACATACAATATTTTTTTAATAGTATGTCACCTCTATATTTTTAATATTAGTTGTAATTCAAAAACATACATTTTTAATAAAATATAGAATTTTTATTTTTTATTTTTATTGTTTCCTGGCCATTTTACATCATTTAAAATACACAAAAAAAAACTTATTTTTAAGAATAATACTGACATGGTCCTAATTGACACTTCAGGTGTTATTGTTGGTGGAGCACTATCAAAAAAGTGTGAAGAAAGTATTGAACATGTTCTTAAACACAAAGAGATCATAAGTGGAGTAGCATTATCTGGACTTACAGATGGAACACAAGAATCTGCAAGAGAACCCTTAGAAAAATTAGAGTCAGTTTTTAAAAATGTTGCAGTATGTAATGTTAAAAATTGTACAAAGATGTGTTCTAAATTTAAAAATAAACAGTTTAAGAATTTAATTATTTTTCTTTCTAGGAACTGGTTCCAAAGGATTTGCTGCATATTGTTGAAGGATGCTGGAATCCAGCAGTTATTTTAACTGCAATAAAATACGGCTGGGATGTCTTTGATGGATCATATGCAGTAAAACTTTCTAATTTAGGCCATGCTTTAACTCTTGACTTTGATGCTACTAAAGATGCATGTACATCTTACTTACTTGATTTAAATGATATGTGGTATGTGTATGATTGTAACATGAAATTCCCCTCCATTTTGCTCTTACTGATTTTTCATTTTGGGTGATATGACAATTTATCACATACTATATAAACTTTCATTACTGTAAGTTAATAAGATTTTATTAATATAATGTCACTTTCAGCGAAAAACTTTTTAATAATTTTTTGTATACAGCGTGTCGTTACAACCGCGACAATAAATGAACGCACGTCTAACGCTACTAACTAATAATCATAAAAAAATATTTTTTAAACAAACTAATTAAGTAAAAAAGAAACAAAATTTGTAATATCCTATACAACTATAACTGACTGATTCATACATTTTTCATTCGTTGCCACAGTGTCGCATTACAAGCCTCTCCTTCTAACAGTATGTTATGTCTCTTTAAAATTCATTCAACCCATTCATATGCTTTGTGACCTTTACAAATGAACTTTACGTTACAGTTTTATACGTAAGGATGTTCTAATAATTTTTGTTTTGTAAAATTTAATAACTCTGTAAATATTGATGTTTAAAGAATGTCTGTTCATTTATTGTCGCGGTTGTAACGACATGCTGTATAACAAGTAGTATGTTGACATTATATTTATGCATATTCAACATAATTTTTATAAAAAAGTTCAATAATATTTTCAGCTACAGTGAACAATTCATACCAATATTAGAAAACTGTGAATGTCTGACATGCAAAAAGCATACACGTGCATATATTCGTCATTTATTAAACACAAGAGAGATGCTGGCGACTGTGCTCTTGAGTATGTAAGTAGTTTTATCTGGACTATATTTTATAGCAGCTACATTATTGTGTTGGTAGTTAAATAAAAGAGCATCAGACTATTTTGTATGGTGTAAAAAAGCGTCATTGTATTGATTTATTAATGTTATCCTCTACTGTAATTAATTATATATCCTATACAAAATTATAATTACTTTCCTTTTCTCCATAAAAATACAGGGAGATTTTTTTCGAAGTGCCCAAATTTACACAGTAGGTTCAGAGTCGGTAGTATAATAGTTTATTGGAATAAAAAACAAAGTTTTTTTTCCAAAAAAATGCCATTCTATTCCCTAAAAAACAGAACGTGTTGATAATGCGGTAGTCATTCACAAATACCTAAATTTACTGTGCACAAACTTGTGTGCGTGTTAGTTAGGAATGATCGCGCGTAAAGTATATGAGTTGCGTATAAATCACGCACTTTTTGAGATAAGTTCAAATGAATGTAATTAATTACTTAAGAGTGATTTTTAATATTTATCATTTTTATATAACATTATTTATGTCTAGAATTCAATAAAAAAAAAATTGATACATTTAGAAACTGCACCCTGTATATTATAAGTGAATAATGAGTATAAATAAAATATAGACTATGTTTCATATTTCCTAATATTTTTCAATTGAGTATGTCAAGTCTTATTATTATAAAAAGTAATTTATTTATTAAAGAAATGGCACTAGCACAAGCAGAAAGATGATGGTAATCTCAGCTATTTCATCAAAATTTGCCGCAAGAGACTAGTTGTAAAAAGTAAATGGAAGTAAAGTTGTAAATGGAAAGTTTTTTCTTAAGACTTTTCTTAAAAACCCTATAGTGGTGCTTAAGTTTTGTTTCATATTGAAGTTATTGCTATCATTTTAATCACATAGTAATCACTCATATAACAGGCTAACAGAATAAACAAGAGCTACCCATGAAGTATACATGGCTCTTTTTATGGAAGGTAATCTGTCTCTTTTTACAGACTCCAAAAGGAATCTGTTTGTAATACTTTAATCTTCAACTAGTTTACCCTTATAAGGAATTTCGATGAGCTTAGGTATCTATCTATAAGACGTGCCTTACACTCAATTTTTTTTTTAACGTGAGGTGGCATGCTGGCTGACGTTTCCCCTGATGTTAAGTGATAAGTGTGGTAGGGTTGCAGATGCATTGCCCCTTTTATGAAGTAATACTTCCACTTCACGCCGGTCTTCTGTGAGGTGGTGGTACTTTGGACGACACTGCCTTTTTGTGCAACAGCGAACTGTTGTGTGGCCCTACCACAGTTAATTATACAAATTATATTATTTGATAATGTTACATTAACACTAAACAATTTAAAAATAATTATCATGGCATATTTTTTCTGTTTCTCTGTGGTTGTCTTTGTCACAGAAGATATGATACAGATACAATAATTATTAAATAAAAGCATATACATATCATGATATATCTCTTCATCCCAACAATAAAATGCTGAAAGATTATCACATTATTAAAAATTTTTATATTCTTGCATCTTTTGCTGCACTTACCATAAGTTCTCACCACATCCTGGGTTGACTGGTAGAGAATTCCTTTGGGCGTTAGGTCAGCCCCTTGTTACATGTTTTTCTTAAGGTTGGCAATAAAGGTTAAATAAAATAAATAAATAAATTATTATCATTTAAAAAAACGTTTGTCCTTTTCAGACACAATCTCCATCACTTTGATCAGATGTTCCACCACGCTCGTCAGCATATTCATTCCAACACATTTGATGCCTACAAGAAACATGTTGTAAGCCAATACCAATCCTACAAAATGTCCCATGTGAAATCAGACTTTGAGGAATTCGTAAGTCAATCACCCCATATGAAAAAGAAAACCAGACTGTGCGAAGAATTGTCTGGTAGGATTCAAAAGGATGATAATGATAGTACGTAGAACTTTGTGGTGACAGCAAAAAGAGTTTTAATAACATTATTATGTTAATAGCACCAAACTTGTTGATAATTCACACACAGTAGTTCATGTGAAAGTATTCACAATTTGGTGCAAAGGTGTTTAAATAAGCTTTAGGCACATGAAGTGATAGTTATTAGCATTTATTATGATTCCTACACATTTCCATTGTATCGTATTAATAGTATTAATTAAAAACCGAAGTAAAAACCTTAAGCTACGGAATTGTAACAAATTGTACCAAAAGTTTTACTTTGTAATCATGTCTTTATTTTAAATTGTCAGTATTATATGTGAAATAGCAGGTACAATGTGTATGTGTTAAAGGAAAAAAAATTGAAGTGGTCACAAAGTTATGAAAAAATTATGTTATAATTATAAATTATAAAGTATAATATCATGATATAATATTATATCCTACTATAGTAGGCTATTTTGTTACTGACCACAAAACAAATGTATCCAATATATTCAAACAAATATATCATAACAAGATATATTCTCACCAAGCCAAAAAGTACTAATTAAGTATGTAAAAGGTGTGTCATCTTGCATTTGGAGAATGTTAGGAATTTATACATTGCCTCGCAGCTTTATTTATTTTGTTAATATATTAAATTGTAAAAATAGCATGTTGTTTTCAATATTATATATAAGGACAACATTATAAGACACATACATTGTCGGATGTATGTATATATATATATATATATATTGATGAAACTATTGTTTATTGATAATATGTTTGTAGATAACTAGCCATTTAAGATTGTATAACCATTAGTGCAAATCATGTGAGCACAAAGTAGGGAAGAAAATTGCGCAGCATTGATTTTGGAATGTAAAGTCCGAGTTTCAAGCATCTCTTTTACATTGATTTAGAAAATAGGTTGAAAAATGTGTCACTGCAGTGTCTTAAACTAGTTTGCGAACTACTTGATTGATTATTTATTATAATGATTTACAATAATTGATTTTGGACGACCCAACACATAACTACACCGCTACTACATTATCATATTAAATTTTAATTGGAATAAACAAATAAATTCCAACTATCATTAATCGCAATATAAATCGAAGTCCTTATATAAAATCATAAATGTGTTCTTGAGATGAGAATATTCGTCCACATTACACTTAAAAAGATGTTATATAATTTATTCAAAAGAGGCGATTCTGACGTTTTGTTCTGTTTTAAATTTTTATAATATTTACTGGTACACTACGCGTGGGCTCTCTTCATTTCTGATGCAGCGTCACTAGTAAAATTTTTGGTTTTGAGCGTGTCTCGTAACAAGAGTTTCGTAACTATAAATACTTCGTCCGAACAAGCCGATCAAATTGTGGCATTGGTGCAGGAAGACTTGGATCCACGAACGATTGCTAGAAATTTAAATTTAACATCAGTCTACGGTTTGTAGAGACAGGTTCTTAATGAATCCCGGTAGCGGCAGAACCCGACGTGACGACCGAATTATTGTTTCAACTTCCCTACGAAATCGTTTCCTCACTTCAGTAAAGATCAAAACAGAGCTGAATGAAGTGTGTGGAGTAATGGGTTGCATTTCGATGATCGGGCGACAAAAGTTCCGTAACTTTGTTCATTGACATGGTTCGTCAGAACGGTAGAAGAGGTGGTTTGACGGCACAACGCTATATAACAGAGGTTTTGGAAGCTCACGTGGTACCTTATATAGCATGATGATGCCCGACCTCACGCCGCTACACAAGTAGGACAATATTGCGAAGAGGTTTGGATACGTGCCTACGTTGAATTGGCCAGCACGCAGCCAGGATCTTACTTCCATTGAGCATGTTTGGGACAGTTTAAAAAAAGCTGTGTACGGGAAAAACCCTGTGCCCACAACAGTGAAAGCAGAACAGCAATTTCACAAGAATGGAACAATATTTCGCAAGACCGTTAAATAACCCTAATCAGGTCTATGCGGAAACGATTATCATATGTAATAGTTAATGCAGTTTGAGTAGTGGCGGATTTGCCCTAAGGCCCGGGCCTAGGGCGGGCAATCGTGACAAAAATTCACTGATAAAAACAAGATATGTGATGGGCGACGAGAAAGGGGCGGCTGGAACTTACAAAATAGATTGAGGCCAGGGCGGCCAAGACTACAAATCCACCGATGTCCGCGAGTGTACATTATAATGAATAATTTTTAAAATTAAAATTTTCAAGCTATGCTTCTTGACGGGCTTTAGCTTCGTGTAATTCATTCGCCGTACGAAATATTACTGGGCGAGATTGCAACTCAATTATTATGCACACGTATTTTGTTTTACCGTTATGCACTCGTGTGAAAAAAATATAACGTGTATATGCACGTATGATTGTAAGCACTACGAATCTATGTTCATATTTGTGGGCACGATTATACATACAGAAGCGTGTGACCCGCTGCATGTAATGGCTCAAGTAATTTGGGGAAACAGATCCTCGTGACCTTCGCTATACGCGGATACAAACCCGTCGCACGCGCTGCTCATACTATTTTTCAATATACGGCATGTTTCAATATTCTATCTATAGATATATTTGAACACTGGACATAGAATTTTAACGTAAATATTATGCAAGTAATGTAAAATACCTATCGCTAGTAACCGAAATCTATCGGTGGTTAGAATGTTGAAGCCGGCCGATAGACATGTTAGTGTTTTTAGTTCTAAGGCTCGTATTTTTGAATCATGTAGTATGCGAGACTATTGTTAATTAGGACAATTTGTATATTTAATACGTTTATCTATCATATATCTGTTTGTAGATATATTATACTTTAACGTGATCTCGAAACATTGATCTATCAGGTGCTATTGAAGGAATTGAATGAAAAACCACAAAACACTTTACGCATTATTTTACTGATAATATTTACACAATAGTTCAGTGACCATACTTATTGACCTAGGTATATCGTATGAAATGTGCATCCAAGTATTAAATGTATGTAATTGCATTATGTTACCAAATAGATATATAGTTAAGGTAGATTTAGAGGATTTGGCAGGATTTTGCTCGATTAAATCACATTCCAATTAAAAAGCAATTTCTAATAGAATACACAGTAAATATATTGGATAGCAAAACACAACCATCACATAAAATATATCAACATTGAAAAATCTTTATTTATTTATAACATTCTTCATAGACTATTTTGAAATAAAGATAATTGCGAATACCACCTCGACTTATTACTCTACCACAAATTTCTACGAGAACATTTTAAAAAGACATCGATTTATTGGCGGAAGTACGATAAAATTTGGCACAGATAACTTTGCAAAATCTACTCTTCTACAATGACATTTATAAGCGAAATGTAAGACTTAATTTTGATTATAATTTTTAAATGACTTAAATAATGAGCGTGTGATAAAATAAATAGTAAAATAAATTATACATTTTTTTGACGCCTAACTCGTAAAATATTTTCGATTATATAATATTTGCATACTCATCGTTAATTTCACTAATAAGTACATTTATCTACAATGCATATCAATAAAATATATAATATAAAGTGATTCCGATTAACACAGTTCTTGTAAATAATAACTGCATATACTCTCTTACACTAAAATTGAATACAAAAAAATGTATATTTCATGTAAATAATGACCATCGTTGCTGCATCTTACAGCGGTTACGTTTTTCTATGCTATTCACAGTCTAAAAAGTGAGAATATCACGACTACTTTATAATGTGCGATACGAAAGCAAGATCCCTTTTGTTGCGTTTTTATGTTTGCAGAAGAACATACGAAAAACATCACGGCATTTTTTCCGCACAGTACCGTACGGCGCTGTACCTAAATTTGAGATCCATTTTTATAGGACTGAAACCCTCGCTCCATCGCTGTAGTTTCAATCACATTAAAATGCTAGCAATTTTCCGAATTCACTAAAATAACATTGGTTATGTCTCGATCACTGGTTAAAACACTGCTTCCGAATATCACATCGAGTCCGTCTTTTTCTTTTCACATTTAACGATATTATAATATATTTTGTTCCAGCTCTAGCACTATACATAGTCATTTGTGCCGGGTGTGTTAAGAGGTTCTTGTGCCTGAAACCGAGAGAATAACACCATTAGTGATAAATAAATATACTTCGTTGCTTGGAGGAGGAGATTTTTAAACATATTTTTACAATAAATGGAGAGGCCAAGATAAAACTAACATTCGCAACTTATTTAATGTACTATTACTATAGTATCTATGAAACTATTATACTAATTTAGTACTAGATAATTAAAATTTGTTTGAAGTTTAAATTTTTACATGCTTCCTTTTACATTAATTACTTCATTAAAATAAACAGTAGAAAATATGATATATTATTGAAACAACTGCTAGTAAACTACTATTTAGCGCTGAAGCTGGATCGCCCACTTACCAATAAGAAACACCCTCACAATGTGTTGCATGAAAAATAAAATTACCCCGCAGTAAAAAATATAATAACCCGTGACATCGCAATTGACGAAATAACAATAGCTATCTAAATAAATATTTACAGCGTTATTCTAGATACAATAATGTTTGGCAACTACTTATTTAATACTGATACGGTAAAAATGTTGGCACATCCTCACTGCCGTGACCCTTAAAATCTAAACGAAAATACTCTATAAATCCCTTAAAACGATTCCTAATAAATATAACTCTAAATACATCGAATTTAAAACGTCTTAGGCAGACCTTACATGGCTACGTACGAATTACTGTAGTCGTAATTTTCTATGTACAATAAGATCCGTGAGGCTCTTGTCAATTCATAGTATGCGATTAGAGGAGGGGTTCGAGATTTTATGACCGATATGAGTGTTTAAAATTGTAAAATTCACAGTGAAATTGGGTCAGAAAAATGGGGGTGGGTTTGGATTCTCGAGAGACGGTGCCGGTGCTTTGGGTCCGCTCCGCTTATCTGAGGCTGTTCTGAATGTTGAGGGTGCACTCCATTGCGGTGAGGGCCCTTACCTCCTCGCCGACAGTGCTCGGGTACAGTTTGCTTCCCGGCGCGTAGCCATTCTGCTCGAGCGCGAACTGGTTCTCCGTGGTCTTCCTGTACACCGGGTTGTCGAAGTTCATAGAGGTCACGTTGCGGTGGACGTAGTGGCGGTACATTACAAACGCGACCTGCAAACGGGGGTTTTGTTATTTTAAAGACTTATACAGGGTTCTCGTCCCACCGATAGGAGAAAAATGTAACGACACCATAACAGGAGGATAGGCGCCTAAAAGGGACATTTTTGTTAATTTAATGAAATAGCGGGTTATCTTACTTCAATCAACAAATTAAGACAACAGTCCTTTTTATTAATATGTTCTACACCAGTGATATTAATTTCATTAAGATTTGTTCATTTATTATATCTATTTTTTATTTGAATTTTACGTTTAGAGGTAGGTTCGTGATTTTTTTTATCGAGAATAGGTTTTGAAAACAATAGTCCATTAGAATGTAAGATCAAGATTAACATATTTTTTTTTTTCTTCTATAAAATGTATAGATTTTGTTAATTTTTTTTTGAAAAACCTATTTTTACTGCATACAGCGCCTTAAACTCAATCAAACGTTCCGAAATTATATTTATAAAGGTTTGAATAATTTTATTCGTGTAAAAAGATATTTATTTACGGCGACAGTTCGACAATCGGATTTTTTACATTTAAAAATAACTACAAATCTTAATGCTTTTTATAAATATTCTTCAATTTTACTATTATGAATTGTTTATTACATTTCAGAAAAAAAATTATTGAAACCTTGCTTTGTGTAAATGATCCGTATTGCGATAGCGGAAACCAACTTGCTCAAGCAGTAGCGACTAACCAGTTTCAGCCCATTCGGCCCACAACTTTTTTGGAATTCTTTTAGCCAGACGAATATTGCGTGAGTAAGCCATGTTCAAAATAAACCAGACATCCGAATCTTCTCGCAGAAAGATCACTATGACGAATTGCAAAAATTGATGTCATATAATATCCCATTACGGTTTTAGAGTCAATTGATAAATTAATCGATTTCTTTGATAAGGTATCTACTCAGCTTGCGGCTAATTAAACAGATGTCTGTCAAGGGTAATCAATCAACAGACGGCGGTAAAGCTCTTAATCACCGGCAATTGCTTAGGCAATAAATTATTATAACAGTTTCTTCTATTGACATCATTATTATGTCGAAAATGATGGTTGAGGACTTTAGCAAAACCTTATACCTTCGAATATATAATGCATAGATGTTACACAGTTGACCTTAGTGGAGTCTCAAATTGTTAAGAATTGTGAGCAGGACAATTCGAAAGTATACGCAACCTGCAACGTGTTGTGAATATAGTTTTTAATTAAGCAGTAGCAAAATAATGCGACGTCACTTTTGTTCGTTGTTTTGATAGCGTATTATATAGCAACGTAGATTGCGCGTATGATTGATTGGAAAAATTTAAATAGTGATTCTATAGATAGATTTGGCCAGCTTTAATTGTTAATATAAACAATTTGGCTATAAAATAAAATAATAAATATGAAGTTTTGCCAATTTTACCATTTTAGAAATAATTTTTGTCGATTCACAATAGCCAGTCCAGTTTTTGACCATGTTATGAAATTTATTATACTTTTCTTGATAGTTTCTTGTATTTATGCTATTATAAATGAATAAATTAAACTATATTTACGGATTTATCGCGTTTATTTTAAAACTTTATTTCTCTGTAATATATGGACTCCGTCCCGTGACCATGAATGCTGTAAAGGGTTCGAAACCTCAGGAAATTAACATTCAAAATAAATTTGGTCAATATGTAATCACAGCATCCATAACAAATCATAACTCCTCAATTTGCAAAGGAATCTATCTATATGCTATATGGCAGAATAATTCTTTACAATTCCAATTCCAATTCGCCAATTTCGACAATGTATTGGTTGGAAGTTACTCCAGATATACGATTTAAAACAGTTGGTTCCATCTTTTAATGGAATCTGTGACCATTAACGGGAACTATTTCAATTGTTATTAGCATATAAATGGTACTTGCTTAGAGTAGGTATCGAGATATTTATCCTCCATTAATTACCTTATTAACAAATAAAAATGAGATTATTAATTTGACTGCCAGTATTATTTTTTTTATGTGCGAAAGTGCCAAACGAGCTGGCGGTTCACCTGATGTTAGGTGATAACCGCCTGCCCATGGATATTTGCAACACCCGGGTTGCAGATGCGTTGCCACCGCTTAGTAATGTGTGCCCCGGCTACCTTACTCACCAGACGAAACGCAGAAGTGCAACACTTCTACTTTACCCGGATCTTCTGTGAGGTCGTGGTACTAACCCGGTCGGATCAGCCCATTCGTGCAACAGCGAACGCTGTCCACACTGTTAGTTACTTTATTATTACTTTATTTCGATATTGGTGGTGGAAATTTTGTAATATGCCGATTTCGCTTACCAATGCGGCAAGTACCAGGACTCCGGTGATGACTGCAATCACTATACCCGCGACCACGCCTGCGTCTCTGCCGCTGTTCGAGATTCCGGTACCGGTCTTCGGGGGCTCTGGTACGCCTGTTAAGAGTGAAGTCAGTTAGTAAAGAGACAATTCCGATATTATGTCAGAGTTGATCCCCTCTGACGTCGGCATCTCGATGCAGAGGAAAACTATCAATTCTCTTAGAAATCCACATGAAGGGAGCACAATCACGGAATAGCACCACCACCGTGAAAGTTAGCGTAAGCAATAATAAACGTTACAGACAGGAAACGCGTGACTAAAAATAGAAGCATAATATCTAAATGCATTGGTGTTTTTTAATTATTTTTAGTTTTAGTCTAAACAAAAAGTTAAAGTATGCAATTATCATGATATAAAATATACCTAATGTTATCATTATGAATAACAAAATAAGAAACTTATTTATATTGTTATCGCAAATGGACCCTGAATACATTATTTAGCGACTAATTGCGAAAGTTTTTATTTATAGATAAGCTTATATGAAACACACTGAAAAGACAAGAAACTCGTTTATAAGTCAAGAATAATTGGCATAAACGTTCTGAAACATTGTTTGTTAGTAGTTTTCACAAACGAGCAGTGGTAAAACGGCACTCTGCAAATCCACAGGATGGAAAGGAGGGAGATATAATGTGGAAAATGACAATGTAGATATTCAGGAAGATTGTAACATTTGTATGAAATGAACGAGCACAAAGCGTGACGCGACGTTATATGGCTGCTTGATAGTGTAATTTAATACAAAATGTGTAGGGTATTGTTAAATTATTGTGTATCCCATTTTCACATTCGCTGTATATTTAGATTCAAAAATAAAAATATAATGAAAACTGTGACATCTAAAACACCGCTGTTTAGCTTTTTTTTCGTTAAATTGGCTGATAAGAAAATTGCCAAGAAAAGCAATTGAATAAATTTAAATTTTTGCATTCTTTCAAAAATTTACAAAAAATTGCTTATTCAAACAGTTTTAATGTGTCAACTGTTTTTTTTTTGTTTTCATAGATAGCAAGTTATCGCAATAATGGCATGATATGGTATGAACATACATATTACGTCTAGGGCGCGCTTTGAATTTAATTATCCTACTCGCTATTAATCAATGAATATAATTAAGTTATAAGGCTAAATATTTTTCAGTGATGAAATTGTTATTTCTACGCAACGCATGCCCCAGTTCGCAATGAATCTGTGCGTCTTCTTTTTTGTTTAAAATAATTTTATTATGATATACTTTACCCTTAATATTATGTGTTATGACATCTGGCAAAAATTGCCTCAGTCTTTCCAAGTTATAATGAGATTCTTTAATTGGTTCTTCGGTTGCATCTGGTATCCTGTCCAGTGCAGCCCCCTTCAAAAATAGGTCTATGAAAGGTTGGTTTTGATTGTCTAATTCCTTCTTATCACTTTCCCAATACGCCTTCATTGGTTCAGAGTTCTTTAATGGCGCGGGTGTAGACTCTTCAGTTTCAGGTTCCTCAGTGGAATCTATTAATTCTCCAATAGCACGTCCCAACTTCAAGAGAAGGCCAAGCCCTTCTCTTTGTAAATTCACCATAGGTGTTGGACGCGCTCTTTATTGGTCCCCTTTCGAAAGCATAAGTCATCAGTTTGTAAAGTAGGAACTTGGCATGCCCTGCAAATCAATTAACGATTCCCAAATTGAAGACACACAGACTTTGGATGCACATTCAAACCAAACCATGGCGTTAGTAGAGAGTGGAGGATGTTGATATATTTCCAAGGTCTATCACCCAACTTATTAAGAACGACGAGAAGATTGTAAAATGGTATGTTGATGTAACCCCATTGACCAATACCAAGTAAGAAAAGGGCCCAAAGTTGTGGTGACATTAGAAAATACTTCCAGGCTTTTATTTTACATCAACAATGTAATTTGTTTATAAGTCAAAAAAAATGTAATCAACAATTCACCGCAACATTGAACTGAATCCAAAGTGTAATGAATAAATAAATAAGGTTGGGAAAGGGGTTTAACATAAAAATATGGATAAGGGAGCTTGAATACTCACTGCTTACAGGTTTTTCCTGAATTACTACAGGTTCATTTGAACCATTACTCGATTTATGCACCTCCACGTCTGGTTTTATTGCATCTGTAGATTTTATTATAAAACAACTTTTATAATGTGTCCTTCATATTCGGGCTTATTTACAAATATCGGAGTAAATATACTATCACTCGCTTTCACAAAACAAAGTGACCTATGCACGTCTTTACTCGTTCACGATGTGAAACTAAATGAGTAAATGACGAGCCGCAGCGACATGCCGATACCGTGCACTATTCGCCAATGACGTCCCCATCTCTCCGGCCATACTCTGTCTGTCAATTTAACCGTGCGCGATACGGCACGCACTTCACACGAGCATGTTCATAAAACATAAAAATCTAATTTTAAAATGAAAGTTACATTTAATTCAAATTCATCTAAGGCAAATTCTAGTTATAATCTAAGATTTACAAACTGTAATATATATGATAATGTAAGTACCGATCATTATGAATCTGGCTTCATGTATTTTATGAATCGAAATTCTGTACATTTAACTAAATTATACATGAAAAAAAATGTAAACTATCTCGTATTCAGTGCAGAAAAATATGTGGTTTACTTAAAGTGTACATTTAACCGAGGTCACGCCTACTCGACGCGATGAGCGGCATGCCGGATCGCGCGCCTATTGACTAACGAAAGGTGGCGTGATGTGACGTCACGTCACCTTACCCACAAAAATGTACCCTATTGGTTAGAAGTAATGTGGATAAAAATGTTTTATTTTGTAACTTCCAGGTATGATCCGATACAACTCTTACGAATTTAATGATACAAACAAATGAGCAACGACCTAACTTAATGTTTAAAATGAAATTGGAAGAAATTACGTAATTGGCGTACTAGTTATCTAAATATAAATATGCGACGGTTGGTAAACAATTGATTGCAGCAAAAGTTTACAAATGAAGCCTCGTCTACGAAATGTCTGAAGCTCAACGATAAGTATAATGATAACTATAAATATGCACTTAGTCATTACACTCTCGCTATCATTACTATACAATTATCACTATATCGGCATTCACGTTACTCGCGATATAGCAAACGTAATTAGTGCATTAATAGTACCTACAAATATCGATAAAAATTTTATTGACTAATACATATTCCAAACATTGTTGATAAATAAATTGATAAACATGGATAGGTGTGGGTTTATTCCTATCTAAAAATCGTGTTTGCATCAGATCGCACGAGTTCAATAAATGTGAATTGTGACGATGAAACCATCGTTCGATGTAGCGTCATAGGGTGACGTGTATCTTACGCGGCGGTGACTTGTGCACGGAGAGATATTTTTACGGATTCTAGTAGCGCTCGAGACGGCAACAGATTGAATGTAAACGATTATTCAACACGTCGTGTTCTTGGAGAGCGTTCACGAAATATTCAAATGTATGTTCATAATATAAACATACCTAATAGATTTTTTTTAAGATTTCACAACAAATAGGTCCACTTAAACAATGATAACGAAACGAAATAACATCCTTATGTTTATTTACAAATTGCTATTGAAAGTTGGAATACAGTTGACACTGCAGGGATTGACAGCGTTTGGCGGTTCCTAATTAAACTTTCGTTTTCCATTTTCATTGGAGATGGAGATCACATCATTGCTTCATAATGTGTTATAAAATTAAAATTTTGATTTAAAACCTGATATAATAACGCATACGAATCCATTGTCTTTTATTAAAATTTCTATAGCGTAAGAACTCAATTTGTAACATTTTTTATTTACTTGTTCAAGTATACTCAAATCATAGCAGTAAGGAGGGTAAACGCATCTGTTTGGTGGGGATAGTTTATGTAAGTACCTGTAGCCTCCTCACTTATAAATTATAAAGAAGAGAAAAAGTACGTTTCGTTACAATCGTTACTGGTTCATGTTGTTTTGGAAATACCAATGTTTGTTATATTTACATTCGAAAAATACCCCAGGAGAATTATTGTGACATCCGCCTACAAAAGAAGATAAATAAATTAAACCAACCAACAAAGACTGAATAACATACTCGTATAGACCATGTGCATGTACTATACGAGTATGTAATATGTAATTGAATAATCAAGAAGTAAAAGGGTGTCCGTCTACTTCTAAATTATTCAATTGCTTAAAAATAATTGAAGGAACGCGATACGGTCTTTATATCGATATAATCAATTTTATTCACGTGTAATGTAGTAGCGATGTTTACAATTTCCGATGCCTTCAACCAAAACGTCGCATCCACAAAGTGACGACGTAATCTGTCTATCCTTTGTTCGCTATGAGTAATCTAATGTGGTATAATTGCAAAGGAATGCGAGCGTGGTTTTCGTGGACCGAATATCGAATGTTGCCGAGTGTTGAAGTACCGCCATATCGTGCGATGCGGATGACAATTAATGTCCTTTTTATTGATCCTTCTCAATTGAATACGCTTAATAACGCAGCAAGAGCGGCCGGATGCTCTCATTGGTTGTTATTTATTGCGTTTATTGAGCCAGTTCGACACATTTTTGATCTCTTTAACGCAAACTGACAGTTTCGATTACTATTCAATCTTATGAATAACCCTATACCCAACATCATAATCGGACGAAAGTCAGACGATGGCAAATTGTTTCATTCCTTTGGTGAACGCAATACGATAACTTAAACCGCTTTGTTTGAGTTCCAAGAATGTCGACATTGAAGAAACGAAAGCCTCTGTTTAAAATGTAACTGAACCATAGTTGAGACTCACTATAGTTTAACGGAAGTTAATACATAATAAACGCCATAGAATATCTAAATATAAGTATTATATTGGATTTGTTTAAAATTAAAACCCTAATAGATACTTAAAAGGTAAAAGTAATTAAGATTTAAGTGTCATAATTATTCGTTTCCCTGTTTAATTATACCTGATGACATATTATGCTGCTGTTTACCTCCTTTATTAAAAACTCTGTACAAAATATGATGCGTCTCATTATAATCGTACGATCCAATTTATATTATTAATGCGCAGGAGTGCATGCGTCACTGTTGTGTTATTCATCCACATGATTATTGATAATTCATAATTTATCTTTATGAGATGATTTTTTCGCTTTCAGCCCTTTACTTTTGTAAAGTTCAGACATTCAATCAGACTCATATACAGAACTAACAGTAAATTAATTATGACAATAATTGCAAAAATAAATATTTATATTGCCGATATTAGTTGTCGTGATTGTGTTTCAAACTCGCTTCTATTTGAGTCGCGTGGCGATGAACCGATAAAAATATAATTACATAACTCAAACTCTTTAAACACAACTATGAATTAATAATTTCTTGTATTTACGCGATTACACATTATAAATGAAACTAATTTTACGGATTTATCGCGTTTATTTTTAATTTTAATTACATTTAATTTTAACAACAAAGATTTGACTGTTCTCCGCGCAGATAAAGGAAATGCTACGGTGGTTATGAAAACGTCGGATTATAATTTGAAAATACAAGAACTGTTGTCGGATGTAAGCACGTATAAAAAGGTCAAAACAGACCCAACCACTAAAACGCTTAACTAGCGATCTCATTAAAAAATACTCCGAAAAATTAAATCTAGACGTGAAATCGATGACACCTTCATGTGCTAAACCCCCAAAATTGTATGGGTTGCCTAAAATACACAAACCAGACATACCATTACGCCCTATTGTAAGCCAGATCGACTCACCAACTCACAGACTGGCTCAACATCTAGTACGAATTCTCTCACCGCTGAGAGGACACACAAGGGCATACACAAAGGATTCTTACCATTTTGTTAGTGAGATAAAACAACTATGTCTTGCTGACAATGAAACAATGGTCAGTTTTGATGTACAGTCTTTATTTACATGCCTACCATTAGAAGACTGCATCTCAATTGTAACAAGAAAGCTAAAAGAGAATAACATGCCGGAAGAGTATGCATTACTACTTAAACATTGCCTAACATCCGGCTACTTGCTTTGGAAGGAGGAATTTTACATACAGATATGGTGATGGTGTAGCAATGGGCTGCCCAGTATCTCCCATTGTCGCTGACATATTTATGGAAGACTTTGAGGAGAAGGCCCTTCGCACAGCGTTCAAGGTTTTACAAGAGGTATGTAGATGACACCTTCACCATTTTACCAACAGGTAAGTTAATGCATTTCTAAAACCACCTTAATCAGTAAATTCCAAAATACAATTCACTATGGAATTAGAGCATAATAACTCTTTAGCTTTTTAGATGTTTTGGTCATCCGCAATCCAAATAACACTGTAAGTCACACTGTGTATTTACAAATAGATACCTAAACGGTGACTGTCACCACCACGTATCCCAGTTAGCTACCGTGGTTAAGTCATTGTTTAAAAGTGCACAAGGGATCTGTGACAAAGAACCCCTGGCCACTAAGCTTCAACATGTCAAACAAGTTCTGCATGACAGCAAGCTTCGAGCACCTCTCCTACGTCACTAACCGATTGAAACCAGCCACAGTGGAGCGAGTACCTGCTGTTCTACCATACGTCAGAGGAGTCACCGACAAGGTGGCTATATCTTAAAGCAGGCTTCAATTAATACATTCTACAAGCCGCTGAAGAAGATTAGTCAGTTTTTTTCTGTCAAGTGTAATATCCCTCTGCAAGATCCAGGAGTGTACAAACTTGACTGTGAATGTGGGCTCTCTTACATAGGTCAAACGAAAAGAGCAATAAAACCCGCGTGAAAGAACATATAGCTGACATTAAACACAATAGATTGAACAAGTCTGCAGTTTGTGAGCACATTTTGAATAGGCCCAACCACTACATCAGGTTTGACAAACCACAGATCCTTGCAAAAGAACACCGATTCCTCCCAAGGATGATTCGCGAGGCTATTGAAATTAAAAAACACCCTAATTTCAATAGAGAAGAAGGTTGGGTACTACCATCAGCTTGGGATCCTGTCATCAATAAAATTAAATCTAGGCCCAAACGAACCACTATGCAAGACAAGATACAATTAGCTCCTGCATAGATCGGACACAAAATTAATAATTCAAAAAACTAACGGTAGCCCGGGTTAACTATGACAATCAACGTCTTTCTGTCCCGTGACCATGAACGCTGTAAAGGGTTCGAAACGTCGGGAATTAAAATTAAAAATAAACGCGATAAATCCGTAAAATTAGTTTCATTTACAACTATGAATTGTTGTCTAGAAACAACAGATTCATCATTACAAGAAACTATGTTGATAAAAAACCAATCTAAGCATAAGTTAAAATACAGTTTATATAATTAATTGAAAAGCGGCTGCGGTGACGGCCAAGAAACGATGAATTTTATATGGCTGAAAGATAAATATCACATAGGTACGACTGAAAGGAGAAACGAGAAGGAGACAAGAGCGCAAGAGCGTATAAACTTGGAACGGCTAGAAGATACAGTGATGACGGATATACAATTAGATCCACGATTCACGTTTGAGTGGAAGTCGAAGGACGACACTTCTGAGTTTCGCCTGGTGATTGAGGAAGCCGGGGATCACTATATGGTGGCAACGCATCTGCAAAATCCTACGGTCGATGGAAATGTCAATGGGCGGCGGTTATCACTTAACTTCAGATGAACCGCCATCTTCTTACATAAAAAGCAAGAGGTCGTTTACCTTTCAAGATATCGTGTGTCGATTTTTTTTTTTTTTTTTGGGAAGGTGATATACGAGCTTTTGACCAGATGTGAAGTGATTGCGGCGGCCCACGGAATTTAATAACAGTAGTAAAGCTGCATATTACTGAACTAGCGCGTTTACCATCTAGGATTACGTCAAGCAATGGCCAGTTTACGTCAAGCACTGGCCAGTTTTTGAGCAGATAAGATTCGTTGCCAGAATTTTGACCAGACGGAGCCCCGACGCGGCGGTAAACAGTTAACATCAGGATTCACCTGTCAATTACCACCTTCTCTTACCTTTAAAACTTTATATAAGTAGCTAAAATTCAAAACCTAATAAACTGAGATGGCTGTAAAGATAATCGTGCGGAGGTATACACTTAAGATCAGGATCACCTGCTACTTACCATGTTCTTTAATTAATATCTAATTTTAAATACTAAACTTTATAAACTGAGATGGCTGAGTTTGAGAAATTTAATCATGTTGTAAACACGTATTCTGATAATTAAGAAGATCAGCCTGATCAATACAGAGAGTTTAACAATCCTTTTAGCAACTCAAATAACATTTGCAATACTATTTGACAGCTGATTAGTTAAATTTTAGGATGATCAGTGTATCAGAAACCGGGCGTTAATAAGATCAGAATTCACCTGTCACTTTGTTAAGTGATAGGTTTTAAAGGGAAGAGAAGTACACAAGAGAACTTTCTCTAACATCTAAATATTTTTTTATGTGAGAAAGTGCCAAACGAACTGGCGCTTCACCTGATTTTTAGTGATAACCGCCGCCCATGGACATTTGCGACAACCGTAGGGTTGCAAATGCGTTGCCACATTTAAATAAAGTAAGCCCCAGCTACCTCACTCACCAGACGAAACGCAGAAGTGTAACACTTCTACATTACGCCGGTCTTCTGTGAGGTCGTGTACTAATCCGGACAAAGGCCTCCTCTATACAAAGGGTATCAGGGCATAGTCCACCACGTGGCACCACTGCGGATTGGCGGACTTCACATATATTCGAAATATATTTATTGTTTTGTTATTATTTCAAAAACATGCAGGTTTCCTCATGATGCTTTCCTTCACCGCGGAGCACTTGATAAGTCAGCACTTAAAGTCAAAAACTTCATTGGTGCCGGCACGGGAATCGAACTCAGGTCGCTCGAGTATATCGAATTAAAGGCGAGCGCCCGGACACTGAGCTATCACGGCTCTAGAGAATACATGTGTAAAGTTTAAATCGAGACGGCTGGAAGAGAATTGAATCGCGCTTTAGTGGGATCTTTGCACTTACTGTCCTCGACGCACATCTGGTTGTCGGGCAGAAGGCGCAGGCCGGTGGGGCAGGCGCAGGAGACGCGCGGCGCGGCGGGGCCGATGCGGGGCGCGGGCAGGCACAGGTGGGAGCAGTGGCCGTTCACGGCGGCGCAGTGGTTCACGCCGTCTGGCTGCCGGTATGGGTGGTACACGTGGATCACCATCGGGTTCTGCAGCTGCGGGTTGAGGGAGCATTTGTTATTCGGAGTCGGCCCCTGAACTGAATGGGATTCGGTGTGGAAGGCGGAATGGTGGATGAGCCCGTTCTGGATGCGTCTGGGTGCAGGTGTAGTATGGAGCATTTTGCGGAAGTAGTGGTGCGAATGGGATAGAGTCGAGGAGGAAGAAGAATGGGTGAGCATTGGTTAGTCCGTGCCTGAACTGAATGGGATTCGGTGTGTGAGGTGGGCCCTAGTGGGCCGGGTGCTGGATGAGCCCGTTCTGTATGCGTCCGAGTAGGGTGCAGATGTAGCATGGAGCATTTCGGGGTAGTAGTGGTACGAATGGGATAGAGTCGAGGAGGGGGAAGTTTTGTTCATTTGGCCACTCCTATCCACCACGACTCGACAGAGCGTCACCGGTGATACTACAGGGGTGGGGTCACAGGGGAGGGGAAAGTCGGTATTGCGATGCCCTATTCTTCCTACTCTCCAACTCGGAACGTGATATAACCATAGATAAGGCCTACGCTGTTGGGGGCCGAGAGACTTGCTGCTTGTTAGCAATGGCTCTCCTGGCCCCTTAACTTACATAAACGAGTCCAACACAAATCCTCCTTAAATCTTCCAGAAAAGGTATGCATTACTACACGTGTTAAAAAAGGCCAAACAGAACTGCAGAATATAAATATCGAATTCATGTAGACAGATTTGTGCAGGCATGAGAACTGGCCTTCACTGGTTACACTTTGCTAGCCTGGCTAGAGTTTTCTTTGTACTGTTCATTTCGTATAACTTAATGCTACTGAGCTTGGTTTGGCAAGGTCTGGCCAACATGTACTAGGTCATAGCTGGCCTTAGTACATTATAATTTGCTGGACCTCCCCATGTCGCCATAGCAGACATATTAAATTTATTTTTTATTTGTTACAAAATCTTATGTTGTGTTACAATAATTATGGACATGCATTTACCTTTATTTCAAAAACATCAACCGTAACGAAGGATGAAATGATTATGTCAAATATATTGTACCTAAACAGACAAAAATCTAGACCAAAAATTATTTTTTCCAAGTCATAAAAATAACAGTCCTGGGCTTGAATGGAACGCTTACAATTATGCAAAGTGCCTTTACATATATTACCCAGTCACGAATGATTACGAAACATAAAAATATGGTCAAAATCAATTGAACAATTTTCTAAAGTGTATATATTAAAGGAAACGGCCCTCCATTAGTACACGGAAAGATTTTTTTAAGTATAAATTGTTTTAGCCATCTACATATTAAATAAAAGACATAATACCCACATTAATAACAAAAGGAGGTCTTCACATTTATAAATAAAGTTTTAGACGTAAAGTCCTTTTAACTATACGATAGGTACTTTACACGATTTAACGACTATAAACATAGTAATATAATCACATTATTCACAATTTTCCACAGTTTTAACTTATTTGGTGTTGTATATATACGCTGTTTGACAAATTAGATAACCATATAAATGAAGTGATATTGAACATTATTAACATTTAATTTCTATTATAGCGTTATTTTTAAACTGTATTCAGCATTTACCTGATCTATTGTTTACATTACATTAAGATCCTTTAATAAAAGTGACGAAATCGAGTTGCCTGACAATAACTGACCCGCCTTCAGTACGTTGCATAATCACTTGCGCTATTATTCACGTAAAAGCGGTTACATTCAATATTGAACCTTAATGTCATAGTACTTAGGCTGTTATTTATCTATAATGGCTATTGCGTTGTTGACGACTCGATTTTACGTAATGGTTACTGAATTTAGCACTTGCGCCAGAGGATGTGGATTCAATCCCCATTAATGGAGAACTATCTTGTGAACATAGTATTTTTCTAGATTTCAGTTTATACGTTATAGTTAAATACGTTTACAGTCACCTAGTACCCAAAGTTCAATTTAAGCTAATTTAGGGAGTAGGTTGTGAAAAATATATTCCGGAAAATTGTTTTTTTTTTTTCCCCAACCGCGGCCTGTCATGACTCTGTAACATTTACCTTCCTCGTAATAACGCGTTTACCTTCCTCGTTATTATTAAACAGCTGAACTGATTTTGATGAGCGATAATTATGTCGTTATATTCTACTGTATTAGAATCGGAAAAAAAGCAAAATGGCAAATTTTTTTACACTTTAGGGTTTGTTTTTAAAAATGTTCGTCGTACAGCAGTCAGTGGCGGATTTGTAGTCTTGGCCGCCCTAGGCCCCAGCCTATGTAGTAAGTTCCAGTCGCCCCTTTCTCAGCGCCCATCATACAGTTGTTATCATCAGTGATTTTTTTGTCAAGATTGGCCGCCCCTAATATGAGGCCACCCAAGGCCCGGGCCTTATGGGCGTTAGGGCAAATCCACCACTGACAGCAGTCGGTGTATTGGTTTCGTTATTAATTGTACATTGTGTACTTGTGGTTAGGTGAAAGCCATTGCTATCCGGTCGTAGGGCCACGCAGCAGCCTCCGCTGTTGCACGACTGGGCAGGCTCGTCCGGGTAAGTACCACAACCTCACAGAAGACCGGCGTAAAGTGGAAGTGTAAAACTTTCGCGTTTCGTCTGGTGAGTGAGGTGGCCGGAGCCCAATTTTCAAAAGGATGTCGACGCATCTGGAACCCTCGGGTGTAGCGGATGTCCATGGGCGATATTCACTTAACAATCAACATCAGGCGAACCGTCTGCTCGCATGGCAGCTTATAACATAAAAAAAAGAAAAAAAGGTACCGTGTGAGTGGCGGTGATGGCCTCCACGTCCTTCCCGTTGAACTTGTTGGCGCGGAAGACGGCGGTCTTGTCCCAGTCGGTCCAGTAGACCCAGTCCTCGAACGTGGTGATGGAGAACGGGTGCCTGAGCACGTCCGTCGAGTACAGGACGAGGCGGCGCGCGGTGCCGTCGTAGTTGCACGACGATATCGTGTTCATCTTCGCGTCCACCTGTGCGGGTGCGATTGCCCGTTAGTCGGGTTACTTTTCGAAGTCATACTTCGGCTTAGAGAAGTTAATTTCTTGTGAAAAATGTAACTTTAATGTTTCATTATCAAATATTGCGTTTACACTTCTGGCACATGCATTTTTAAATCATATTAGAATTACTATTAGGTAGTATTAAAATTAATTTCTATTTACATTACAAAAATATTATTTTCAAAAATTAATTAACAAAGCTAAACGGCCACACCGACGAAAATCATAACGTCCTTTATAGCAGCATACAAACAATTACGAATATCGTTTTACAACGATAATTCGAACGTTTAGCTCAGTGGCTAAATCGTCAAGCCGCGAATGTCGAAGACGGTTTAATTAGGTTTTAATTGGTACGTGTACTCATGTAAGCGCGTGAGAAGTTATACTTCTTTGGCATCATAAAAAATAGTTTTTAACATGTAAATAATTAATTACAAAAATAATAAGAATACTGGAAAAAACTGACTGTAAAATATAAATAACGAAAACAATAAAATTATGAAACCGCCATCTACGTTATATATTAACTATAACGGGCGAATGTGATTGAGAATATGCTGCCATCTATAAAATTAGCGGATAGCTTCAAAGGTGTGCCTTTGTGTTAAATCTTATAATTTCACTCTTATCATTTTTTCATAACGCACGTAAAGAAGTGTAACTTCGTAAAAACTGAATTCAAAACTAAAACAGACATTATAAATATAAATATTTGTTTCATTAAATAGATAAATAATACCCGAGTTACCGCCCACAGTTGTCATAAAATGTTTTTTCCACCTTTCGCGTGGAATAATTTACGTTCAAACAGCATGATGTAACCGTTTTTTAACATCCTTCGAGCAGTTTTATTACATGATGACCTTATGAGTTAATCTCGCAAAGATTTTCCATTGCTTCAATCGGTCCTGAGTAAATGGGAGGTCAGTGTTAATGGTATTCGGTTCACACAAATAACGAATCCATAAAATTACTAATTATTCAAACACCGATCCTATCATTCTAAATGCGTAAGGACATTACGTAAACACAATCCATTATCTAAGCTGTTACTTTACTATTTTTAAAACAATAAACATAAAACATACTTCTATACTTAAAAACATGGAGAAATATAATGACATCAACCCACGGCTTATTTATCTTTGTTTTACCTAGTTGCATAATTTTGCATAAATTTGACAAGTCTGAGTTTAAATTACAGTTGATAGCAATTAAATTGTTATTATCGTTATATGTAAATACCGCTCCAGCCTTACTTAGCTCGGAAAAGGTCTTGAACCATCGATGAAACATCTATGTATGTATAATATGATTTTTTATTTATGTTATTTACATAATTCATTTATGTTTATTATCTTTTAGTATATTTTGTTATATTTAAGTCTATTTTGGTATTAAGTAAATTTATTGAGCACACCACCTCCCACTAGTCATTAGTTTCTTTTTCCTCGTCCTAAGGACGTCTGGAAGAGATCGCTTTTAGCAATAAGACCGCCTTATTGTAACTAGCTTTTAAGTCTTATTTTATACCAATTATTTGTGGTGTATTATTATTGTATTGTGACGTATTTAATTCTTTGTGGTGTACAATAAAGTATATAATAATACTTTGTCAGTGGTAGATCACTCATCTGTGTTATACGAATTGGCTCGAACGTAAGTTCCACGGCCGCAGTCAACCGACGAAATAAGTTCTACTACTACACGTTTTTTGAATAGCATAAGTCCATGGGCTGCGGTAATCACTTAACATCGAGTGAGCCAACTTTGATTTGTTTTTTTTTTTTTCAACAAATGAATATAAACGGCTTACCCAGTAGACACGTTTTCTGACCAGATCCAGTGTGAGACCGTTCGGCCACTTGACGTCGTAGGACACTATTGTTTGGCGATGGGACCCATCCATTCCAGCCCGTTCAATCCTAGGGGTTTGGCCCCAGTCCGTCCAGTACATCCATCTGTGAAAATATAACACTATGAACAAACCAAACCCCGTATAATGCTATACGTTACATTTCATTAATAAAACATTATCAATCATGTAAAGAAACGAAACGTCAAAAGTTATATTCTTGAGCGTAACAAAAGAAAAACAACTAAAAATTGTATTCTCTTTGTCAGTATTGGGGGTAGTATTATATACACTTAACATAGGGTGAACCATCCGCTTGGCAAATTTTGACATAAATAAATAAATAAATAAATTGACATTAGATGCAAATCATAACGGTTTATTTAGTATTAAGTTACTTAAAGTTGGAATTATAGGTACTTAAATGTCAGAAAGGCTATTATTGGTTTCCATGGTAATTCCGTGAAGTTGGTCGAAGATGGTCGAAGCTTTGCAAACAACTTCATCATGTCACTTTTTGAATGTCGGTGTGCGCGTGCATCGTAAAAACATCTCTTTTTTAGTCTCATATTTTTTCCAGACGCACGAAAAGATGCATAATTTCAATAATAAATATGTACTTATACTCATATTTTAAAAGCTAGTGGAGTGTTTTCTTAGTTTTGTTAAATAAAATAAAACATATAGATGTTACCGATGGTTAAAGCTAGTTTGTTAATAATAATTTAGCGATTGTATAACATTGTAACCACAAAGTAAGGGATTCTAAAGATATTTAAGTTTATTTTAAATCAGCGACAATAAAGAAGAATAGCTCAAGGGCGAACACAAGTGTAGACAATTATAATAACGACAGGATGTTAATAATTCATTAAAGGCCCCATGTTAGCTTTAACCTTTTCCATCAATCAAGTTTTATCATTGACGTTTGACTCGCCGTTCGTCGACATTTAATCTTATTATTTTATAAATTAATTATAATTATTTATCATTCACAAGTACACCTTTCGTAGGCATGTTTGTAATAATATTCCATTACGTATTTTTTTCTAGTAGATAAAGGTGAAATACTTATTCTATATTAGTTCGAAGAAATAGTATTAACAAATACGAAACAATATTATTCGAATAAAACTTGTTTCTTTACAGTTTTGGTAAATCATAATAATTACCATTACTAAAAAAGGACAAAGCCCTCATTAACATAAAATACCACCGCATTGTATGAAATTGTATTTCTTAATTTTCTATACTATACACGTATTATGAGTATGACCATCATAAGGTAAAATAGATGGCATTTTTTTATAATTAGCTATATTTTAATTTATTAAAAACACTGCCCTTACTTTAGGATAACATTATGTTGTGTTGTAAGGACCTTTTTACAAACATAAATTTCACGTGGACAAACAACAAAATACGAAACAATTGTCTGTGGGTCACACAAATAGTTGTCCCGTGCGGGACTCCATCATCATCTCTCGAAGCCGAAGCCAACGCCTTGGCAACTGCGCCGTGGAGTCATCGAATACAAGTAGGTACTTTTGTACTTGTACTTTTGGTTTTATTTATCTTGAGATACATTGGAATCATGATCCTTCTGCCCTCATCTCAGATAGGTGGGAGCGGCTATGCTCTTATAACAGGCCACCTCCAAAACGTCAACCATCCTTGAAACAAACCCCCAGATCCGGAACAATTATACAAATACACAAATACTTGTCCCGTGTAGGAATCGATCCCACGACCCACGACGTCGATGCCAATAGCTTAGCAACTCCGCCACCGAGTCAGTTACAATCGAATAACTGGTACAAATATTAATTTAGTCTTCATGTCGATGTTATGATTTTAATAATATAACAATATTATAATACAATGTTAATGGGGACATCCTGTTGTATTTTTCTTATCTGCTTAGTGTTTTGTTTAGGCAAAATCAATTACTACGTAGATTAGAAAATGAGCTGATTTAGTGATTAGTTTTATCGTTGAATCTAGTAATTTTAAATCTGCTGCTACGGTAATTGATAGCTATAAATATTGCTATAAATAAAGTCTTATAGGCCGATAAGTATTATGCCGAAAAGATTAATTAATTAATTAGCTAAATTTAAGTATAAATATTTGTATTTTAACTGTTACTTTTAACAAGTTTAATTTTTTTTATTAACGAAATATAAAACCTACCTCAAATATCTTGCTCTGTTTTCATTCTATAATTGATGTTCTGGAGTTCCCTTCGTATCTCTATAGCCCAAGATCCAATACCAATGAAATAAATATGGGAAGCAACAGCTTTCAAATAAAAAAAATAATCATCAAAATCGGTTTACTCAGTTGAAAGGTCTGAGGTAACAAACATAAAAAACTACAGTCGAATTGTGAACCTCCTCCGTGTTTGAAGTCGGTTAATAAAATATAAATTTCAATTAAACTACAGTCGTACCCAAAAGGTAACTTTGAATTGCGTTCAATTAAACTACAGTCGTTTTGGGTAACTTTGAATTGCGTTTTAATATTGAACAATGTTGTGAAAAAGATTTATTAATTTACTACACGAAAACTATTTTTTTATTTCAATAGCGTAACAGCGTAAAACGATCGGCAAAATGTTTTGAAATAATGAAAAGAAAAAAAACTTTCAAGGCAATATCACATTTAAACGTTAATTTAGATGTAATTTTTAGAGATAAGGTTTTATTTAATACGTTATATAATTTTACCCAAACCTTCGAATAATGATGGTTTTTACATCCTAAAAAAAATTATATTCAAAGTTACCTAAACTCACGATAACTTTGCTTTGGTTGTTTTTTTTTTATGCGAAAAGTTGTTAAACGAGCAGACGGTTCACCTGATGTTAAGTGAATACCGCCGCCCATGGACATCTGCCACACCCGAGGGTTACAGGTGCGTTGACAACCTTTTGAAAATTGGGCTCCGGCTACCTCACTCACCAGACGAAATGCGAAATTATTTGTCATACTTTCACTTTACGCTGGTCTTCTGTGAGGTCGTGGTACTTACCCGGACGGGCCTGCTCATTCGTGCAACAGCCGAGGCTGCTGCGTGGCCCTACCACCGTAATCTCTAATGTAACATCTTTCCTATTAACCTTAAACAACAGTGAAGTGTTGTCATCCGCAAACAAAACGATTTGAGACCCTTTTTTCTAACACATATGGCAAATCATTTATGTAGACTAAAAACAGAAACGGGCCCAGGATCGATCCCTGAGGAACACCCATTTGATTTTTATAACAATCTAGCATAAAAATTGTTTTTACAAAGCATCTACGAAACTTCGAAATGTATTTGATGGACCATAGATATCTTCGCTCAGTCGTATGTGGATTGACGAGCTCTGCGTCCAATAAAGATTTAATAATAGTCTATATCTTCAGGTGAACCGCTAGTTCGCTTGCGATTTTTTACATTTACATTTAAAAAAAACTAGTCTGGTTCTCTGTGAAGCCATTGCATATCATGTAAGTAAATACAACATATTGTAAGTACATAATTTTATGTATTCAATTATTGAATTCTTACTAACAAAATAAGGACACGTCAACCTTTTCTCTTTTAATTTTATAAATCTGCACTTAATTTTCTAACTTTCAATACATTTTATTTCTTTATTATTAAATTAGCAAAGTTAGGAAAAAACTGGATAAAGATACGATGCTGTCAGTAGAGCAAAAATTATTCTCCATGATTTCCCTTTTGTTTCCATATTTTGCTTTTTCGGGGTCGTATAGACCGTATAACATGATGATAAGTAAAGAAAAATAATACTATTTGCAGTGTAATGGTGTAAGATATGGTCGTCAGTGTGGATACTCACCCGTCTAGCGGATTGAGAGCGATAGCCCTCGGCTCCTCCAAGCGATCTCTGATGAGGATCTTCCTCATGTTGCCTTGCAGGTCGGACAGCTCGATGTGGTTCTTGCCGGTGTCGGTCCAGTACAGGTGGTTGTAGATCCAGTCCACGGCCAAGCCGTCCGAAGTGATGAGCTGGTCACCGATCACCACCGTGCGCTGACTGCCCTCGTCGATTGGCGCTCTGGAGTCGGAAGTAGTTTGTAATGTTTCATTCAACTATTCCCATAACGGACGACTTATTATGGTTTATATTTGATAATATAGCATGAAGTATCGTTACTAGCGGGATAATGTCTCATCTGTATTCCTGGATTGGTCAGATTCAATATCGTTTTTAGAGATTCTGGAACTCTTACAAATGCACTATGAATAACCACCGAACGGATTTGCACAAGTCTCGAACGATAAAATTTCAAAGTTTATAATTATTTCTATAAAACTTTTACCAAATTTAAGAAAAAAAAATTCTTTCTTTTAATTTAACGCTTTTCTGTTGATGAAAAATTATTATTGATACCGTTCAAACTATAACAATACTCAATATTTTTTACCACGCGCTATTTCGCTAACACGAACAGTGAAAAGGGACTCAATCGTACAACAGCAAGGATTTAATGACAATCTCGTGGCTCACTTGTATATCTTCTCGTCGGTGACGTCGCTCCAGAAGATCATGCCGGTGCGGAACACGTAGTCGAGCGCGGTGGCGGACTTTGTGTCGTTCACGATGGCGACCATCTCGTGGTGGTCGAGGCTGATCTTGCGGATGTCGAAGCGCCGCGCGAACAGCAGCGACGGGTGGCCCTCGGTGGCCTTGCAGCGCGTGCGGTCGCGCGGGTCCCGCGCGTAGCCCGCGTGGCACTCGCACTTGTACGTGCCCTTCTCGTTGATGCACAGCTGCGAGCACGCGCCCGGGTCCGCGCACTCGTCCACATCTGCCGGTGGGGGGGAGTTTAGGGCCCGCGATTGATGGGGCGGTGGTATTAAGTGGTCGACTAACTAGGGCCCTTGTTGCTACCGACAGAGTGACGGTATTAAGTGGTCGAATACAAACGGACTAGATTTGGTATATCGGAATCGCTGTGTATAATGTGAACGCTGATCTCGCTGATGCACAGCTGCGAGCACGCGCCCGGTTCCGCGCTGCCGGCGGGGGGGAGTTTAGGGCCCTTGTTGCTAATATTGTGGTGGTATTAAGTGGTCCTATACAAACGGACTAGATTTGGTAAGGGGGAGCTTAGGATCCCACGATTGATGATCCCACGACTGGACTATGTTTGTTATATACAGTTGCGCCTGCCCTTTTCATTGATGCACTCATCCACGTGCTTAGGGCCCTTGTTACGACTAACATGGCGGTGGTATTTAGTGGTCTACTATAAACGTTGTTACGCTCATAATACGTGTATACTATATAAATGTTGTTACCGTTGACGCATAGCTGAGAGTGGAAAGGCTTAGTGCCAGTGTTAGGAGATTTTTGGGCTATAAGCCAACTTCGATGTATACTAGAGTAAATTTTTTAAGCGAGGAATTGGTATGGTGTATAGTAAACTGATATTTATATTAGCTAAGGAAATCTATTTGCTGCTACATGCATTAATAAACCAATGCAATAATCTTTGCTTTAACAAAAGGATGTTTATAGGATTTAGTAATCAGACTGTTTTATAGACGGTAGACATGCGTTGGAAAGTAACGAAAGGTTTCGACTGTTAGAGAAATATATGTACCACTAGCACTATAAACTCTCAATTGAGAAAATCATCATCATCGTCATTTTAATCATTTCAGCCCGTCCACTGCTGAACATATACCTCCCCTCCAGACTAGCACAGACGACGGAGCCCACTTTATTTAAAGGTGACAACGCATTTGCAACCCTACGGGTGTTGCCGACTTGTTTGTCACTTTTTCACACTAAAAAAAAAGACATCAGGTCAATTGCTGTTTTTAACCCTACGGGTGTTGTTCGGCGGCGGCTATTACTTAACATCAGTTGAACGGCCGTTGAGCTCGTTTGCCACTTGTTCAAATTAAAAAAAAAGACTGAAACGTGCGGTAGGGGGTCACCTTCACAAGTGCGGTTGTCGACCAGCTTGTACCCCTTGTCGCAGTCGCAGTAGTAGCCGACGGGCGTGTCGACGCAGCGCTGCGTGCAGCCGCCGTTGCCCCTCGCGCACTCGTCTTCTCCGCAGCGGTCGCGCGGCTCGTCCTCGAAGTTGGGGCAGTCGGGCTTCTTGTCGCACACCTTGGACAGCGGTATGCACATGCCGCCGCCGCAGTCGAACTCAGTCTTCTTGTCGCAGACCGGCTTCGGCCGAGCTGGAACGATAGAGCCGCTGTCTTGACCCGTGGCGCAGTTGCCGTCGGCTTCTGCCCCGGGGGTTATCGGTTCGATTCCCGAACGTGATAGCTTTTTGCGGGCACCCACGAATGACTGCGGGGGTTACGGGTTCGGCTCCCAAATTGAATAGCTATGCGGCCCACGGATGACTGTTTCACATATCGGTGGGTCGCCACATGACATTCATTCATAAAACGCCCTTATAATACGGGATAATGTTATCCTACAGTAAAGGAAAACAAAACAATTGTCGTTTTAACGGATTGACCATTGTCAGAAGCGGGTAAGATTTGAACGTTTTCCAAGGACGCAGTAACCCTCTAGCACGTTAAAAAATAGTTACGACACTAAAAACAACACACTAAAAGGCTACTCCCAAGCAGCGGACCATCAACAAACCAACACCCAAAAATGATGTACCCAGTTAGGGTTGCAGTTGTAAGAATTATGAAGCGAGTGTTGACTTTTATTTCGATCTAAAATGACGTATTTTTTATTAATTTTGCTGCAGTTAAAATTAGTTCTGTTGTGATTTTTTTTAATGATTAAAATTAATGTTTTTATTAAAAATACGAACTTCCTATTACTCACTTCACGTCATCAGTTTAAACCATATATGAGAGTTATGGTTCATAAATGGAATGTCTTACAGACCTATTCGGAAGGATATGAAATCCGCCGTTGCGGTTTACCTACACAAACTTGGAAGTAATATGCGTTGAAGTTGTAAAATAAATAACAATTGTTACCTTATATTATTTTCTATCATAGGTACATCAAACCTATTGCTCGTGTTATTTTTAGACATTTTTTTTCGGCCATTATAAACGGACATTGTAACGATTATACGATACGGCGTTTATAGGGCTACGTAGACAAATTAGAGAACTTTCGGCGAAATCTAATGAAAAATATGCTCTTTATATCTTTGTTTTGTTTATTTAACTATTTTTTAATTTACAGTTTAGGTGCCAGAAAGACGGTAAGTCATTTATATTTCATATATGTATAAAGTAGATAGAATGAGAATGTATTTGTTAAACTTTCCGAAAACGCTTAGTAAACGTATGAACTAAACAAACGTATGAATTAACTAAAGGCTTCAATATTAGTGTTAGTAGATAGTTAATAATAACTTATAATAAGTGCTTCAAGTTTAATTGAACTTCTATCTAATAATCGCTTAATACTCTCATTGTATGCTTTTGAAATTACGTTTAAGTAACTCCACCACAAGAGTCTTACAGACCTCAGGTTTAATATAGATCTAGTCTAGACTGTTAATATCTCCCTTTTGAGCCGTCGCTCATTTAATTGATACCTACATAACAACGTCACAGCGCTCAATTTAACGATGCAAATGTGTACGTACATTAATGCCGTAAATTGACAGTAAAGGTCCATATGTGGCTTTTATGGCTCACAGTAACAATATTCAAAACTGTTTTTGTATTTTCTCCTTCTGCCTTACGTGTGAGAGTTTTTTTTTAAGATTCATTATATAAGATGTTACAATATCGCCAGATGTTATCAGGTGGAATAAAGAATAAAGATACTAAATAAGCTAGGAATCTTCAGAACATCAAAACAGGTTGTGTGCATATGATTAATTACTCAATATTATCCCATATATCCCATTAAAAAAAGAAATCATTCTTCACGAAACACAAAAAGAGAAATATATTGACTAGATTGGCAATATACTGAGGAAAGGCGGCTTTACGTGTATCCGTTACTGACGTGCATGAATACGAAGAGGTATGCAAAACCCAAAAGAGATGTGCAAAGTTCGTGAATTGTATAAATCAATATTCTCTACCTACTTCTCTTAGTTACAGAGAGAGAGAGAGAGCTTGTATAATATTATGTTCTTCGTGTTATCTTACAGTAAAGTAAGTGAGATTGACTAATAATTGTTGTGTACTTTACTTTTTTTCAAAAACCAAGTACTTTCGTGGTATATTTCAATTAGTATTCAGAAACGATTTCTCATTTATTACTCTGTTACAAACCTTTAAACATGTAGAATTATTTTATCAATTTTATCGTTCGTATCGTTATTCGAATATAAATTTTTAATAATTATTAAATAGAAATTTCCTAGACTTTATAGCATTACGCTGGTCTCTACAAAGTCTTCATCAAACTTGAACTTCGAATTGGCATTCTGGCATCCGTTTTAACCTGAAGCCAAAAGAGGTCGCTCCTGTCTGTCATGCAATATCGACAATAGACCAAATATAAGGCTAAGCAGCGGCTTTGGCTGTTAGAATTAGCGGATTCATCTGGGGAAGTACTGCATACACGAAGAAGACCGGCGTGAAGTAGAAGCTTAGTAGGGAGTGAGGTAACCGGGGCACACTTTTTTCATTGGCGGCACTATTTCCAACCCATCAAATGTTGCCCACGGGCATGGGCAGTTGCCAAGGCTTTTACTGGCTTCAGGGTCGGGCGTCGTGGGTTCGATTGCCACACGGGACACCTATTTTTGCGACCCGCAGATAATTTCTTCGCATCCGGGTGTTTGTCCGCGTGAAACGTGTTTGTAAAACGTCCTTACAACACATGAAAATATTATCATAAGGTACAAGGGCAATGTTTAAACAAAAGAAAAATAAAATCACCCGCGAACCGCGTGCTGGCTGGTTAAACTATCCAATAAAAAAAAAAAAAAAAAAAAAAAAAAAAAAAAAAAAAAACCCACTGCAGTTGAGCTCGTCGCTGCCGTCGGGGCAGTCCCTGTCGCCGTTGCAGTAGAGGGCGCCCGGCACGCAGCTGCGGTCCCTGCACTGGAACTGGTCCGCGCGGCAGGTGACGTTGCCGCGGCACAGCTCCGGCGCCTCGTCGCCGCCGTCGGGGCAGTCGCGGTCGCCGTCGCACACCCACGTCTTGTGCACGCACGTCATGCGGTCGCGGCACTGGAACTCCGTGGAGACGCACGGCGATATCACCCTCGGCGTCGAGGGGCAGCCCTGCAAATCGAATAGAATCAATTTTTTTATGTGAGTTTTTTATGCGGCAAACGGGCCGGCGGCTCGTCTGACGTTAAGTGATAACCGCCGCCCATGGGCATTTGCAACACCGTTAGGGTTACAAACGCGTTGCCGCCTTTAAATAAAGTGGGCCATTTATTCGTGGAATTAAGAGATATACATTTCTTCTATCGATGCGCGTTCTTTAAATCTACCCTCGTTTCATACTAATTATGAATGTTCATCTAATGGAGAAGGAACAGGCGAAAGAAACTCCGTAGGTATCCTCTTTTTTGTCATTTTTTTCTCAAACAATTACATTGTTATACAGTACATAATTTGCAAACCAATGCTGCTTGAGCGCGATGCAAATATTAGTGCGAGTTTACTCTTCACATCGGCTTAGTTAGACCGTCTTTGTAGGCCTTTTTGTACCGGAAGGAAGTTAGCGTAGAATATTTTTTTTAATTAAACGATATGCCGATTAATTGCTCTTGAAATGCTCCATTAGAATTCGTAATTGCTCCACGTTTATTACTATTCATTAATTTTTAATTAATTTTTAAATAATTTAATTTTCGAAAATTTAATTTTGCTATAAAACATAAAATATCCAAATTCTTTGTAATTTTTTTTTGGCCAATTAATTGCTCTTGAAATGCTCCATTAGAATCAGTAATTGCTCTACGTTTATTACTATTCATCAATTTTTAATTAATTTTTAAAAAATTTAATTTTCGACAATAATAATTATAAATAAAATTTTTTTATAATAATAATTATAAATAATAATTTAATTTTTCTATAAAACATAAAATATCCATATAATTGGTCTCAATTTGCTCTATTAATATAAAAAAAAATTTGCAATATTTATAATAATTAATATAAAAAATATATTTGCATGTAAATTGCTGCACTATGACGTCATCAGTGGCCGTTGAATTCATTGAAAGCTATGTTTACATGAATCCTCGTCACGAAAATTTCATGTTTGCCTTTATGTTTATATTAAAACGTAGAAAAAGTACGAAAAGATTGTCGCCGCTGTGGGAATCGAGCCCACGTCTTCGGCATTCGCGGCCTGACCCTCTAGCCACTGAGCTAAACGGCTGATAGCCACAGCGACGAAAATCTTAATGCCTTCTCTCTACATTGTTATTTAGCATTTGAAGCAATGCTTGGCGCATCTATTGTTGTATCCTTTCCAGCATACAAACAATTTCGAATATCGTTTTACAACGATAATTCGAACGAGAGCTGATAATTTTAAGGTTATATAGGCCTATTATTATAATTCTCAACAATAATACTATTTATTAATGAATAATTACATTATTACTCCTGCTCAAAAATGAAAACCCGTCGGTTTCATATTAACAAAATTATTATTTATTCTAATGGAGCATTTCAAGAGCAATTAATTGGCATATCGTTTAATTAAAAAAAAATATTCTAAGCTAACTTCCTTTCGGTCCTTTTTCTTGTCGCTTTCGCATCAAATAATAATAATAAACTTTACTGCCAGAGTCCCTGAATACTGAACTAGGAATCAAACCTGTATCTCACGAATTAGTTCCCTTCCAATTTGAAACACAAATATATTAAAGAATTAGAAGAGTCTAATTTGTGCCTATCGCGCAATATATGCAATAGACCAAATGTTGGCTCGGGTCATTTATAGCCACGAAAATTCTGAGCCACCTTCGCGTTATAAAGTAAAATTGTTGAATTTTTATTTTTTCACAATGGAAAGTTTTTTTTATTTTTTTTATGCGAAAAGTTGTCAAACGAGCAGACCACCTCATGTTATGTGAATACCGCCGCCCATGGACATCTGCTACACTCGAGGGTTCAGATGCGTTGACAACCTTTTGAAAATTGGGCTCCGGCTACCTCACTCACCAGACGAAACGCGAAAGTATTTGTCATACTTCCACTTTACGCCGGTCTTCTGTGAGGTCGTGGTACTTACCCGGACGGGCCTGCCCATTCGTGCAACAGCCGAGGCTGCTGCGTGGCCCTACCACCAATGGAAAGTTAAAAGAAAGAATGCTTCGACCCAGTAATTAGTCGCTTCAACTACTGTTTTAAATGATTTATTAATATTCCCTCATAATCAATAACAAAATATGTCTTCATATTTTTTTCCTAATTTAACAACAGTTTCGTTTTCGTTCGTTTCCGATAACGTTAATTTAACCTATTAATATCTTAAGCTCTCTATCACAAGCCTCGTAAATAGGTCATAGTTAATTAGTAAGTTATATACTCTATCCCCAGACACTTCTACCTATCTAACAAAAGTAAATAAAGCGCATATACAGACATACCAAGCTACGAACTACGGAAACTGTTAGAATTGATTATTGTAACATCACTCAAAGGATATATTCATACACAAGGAGCTTTTGTTTATTCAATGTTGTAATTGGATCTAATAGAGCATGTAACGTCGATGTGTTCGCAAACAGTATTATGTGTTAATTTACCGAAACAGATGAAAGAGAATCTTGATTACTTATAATTAGTAATGATGGGTACGTTGTCAGCATATATAATGCTCATTAAGTAATTACTCTGATTAGTGTTTATTACATAATACAAATACTTTTTTGTTGAAAATTAAAAAGTAAATCGTGATGATGTGTGGTTAGATACAATACATAATTCTAGAACTGGATAAAACTGTCATATATTACTAATCTTTTTGTCACCTTCACTAACTTAAAAATCCTTATTTCACATTTTTGTTTCATTCGAGTCAGATAACCATGAATTTTGAACAAATTAAAGAAAGTGTCACATTTTAATAGTGTGATGTAAATCAGGGAAACATTTTTTCTAAGCGCTTCCACGCTAAATATCTGTCTGATGACATTTCCTAAATACAGCTTTATGTATGCAAACTTACATTAAACTATTTCACATTGTTCATTTATATAGAACGAATGTTTGTACATACCTACGCATTACTGTTGTTCATCTAATTGAGATGACTTGTACAGTTGCTATTTGTACTCGCGCGATGGTTTGCATTGTAATGGTGAGTATGATCAAATTTTGATAATACGTGTTACCAGCCCTCAACTATATACCCATCGGTAGTATATATACCTTTCCGTATAATATACATCTATTGATTATTATAATAAACACGTTAACCTTAATTAATCATATTAAATTAAAAATATAATATAAAATAAAATACATTTATATTATTTACAATTAAAATATTATTTAACATAATAAAATTCATACAAAGGACACATCAGAGGCAGTTTGTACTGCCTGATTCGATCACCACATTCGCTTATCCGAGTCATTTTTTGTTTTACGTGAATATTATACATTTTCAAATGAAAATATTTTACAGATTTTATCAACAACACCTCTGATGACTCCATAGTGCAGTGGCCGGTATTGTGTAGTGGAGGTATTGGCTTCAGCGTCGGGGTCGTGGGTTCGATCCTCACACGGAATAACTATTTGTGTGACCCACAGACAATTGTTACGCATCGGGGTATTTGTTCATGTGAAATTAATGTTCGTAGAACGCTCTTAGGACACAGGATAATTAATTAAAAAAAATCTGTCGCGTGGTTCGAAACGTCGGGAATTTAAAAATCTAATGAAACGCAATAAAATCCGTAAAACAGTTTCATTTGACAACCTGATTAGATAGTCTATCATTCGGTTATGGATGGGAGGAGCAGATCCTCTTGTACTAATGCACGCAACACCTCGTTTCGCCCTAGTGGACGTGCAACAAAATGGGGGCGCTCACCTGCTCGTCGCTGCCGTCGGGGCAGTCGATGTCGCGGTCGCAGCGCCACCGCGCGGAGATGCAGTGGCCGTCGGCGCAGGCGAAGTGGGTGCGCGGCTGGCACGTGGGCGCTGGGCACCTCACCTCGTCGCTGCCGTCGCCGCAGTCGTCGTCGCCGTCGCAGACCCACCGCTGCTGGATGCACTTCCCGTTCCCGCAGGTGAACTCGTCCGAGCGACACGTCTCGTCTGTTCATCGGATTCTTTGTCAGTCGCTTAGCGAAATTGCGAAAGAGAGAGGCACTCAGTCTTTCTCTTTCTGGCTCTTCACGCCGCGACGGTAAATGGTCGCTTTATTTTTATTGTGTTTGTAATAAAGCTAATATGCGGGATCAATACAAATAATGCTTTTTAACCGATTACAGTGAGAACTCCACAATAGAGTATATACTCGTCCAATGCATAGACTGTAATAAATATTGTTGACGATTGATTATATACTATGTCTAGTTATTTCAGTCAAAGCTTTACATTGCTAAACACGTTACGTAATGTAAGCTGTGTCATGCTAATTGATTATAATGGAACTTGCGGCTTAAGTTTATGTAAGGCATTGAAGATTAGAAAAACAATAGTCGTGATACGTACTTGAAAACGAAAGTAAATTATTCTGAAATTCAATTATGTCAACAAATCATCATCATCCTCCTGCCCTTATCCCACCTAGGTGAGGTCGGCACGACATGTGAATCATGTTGTCAGCCGGTTTGCCTATGTTTTTTACGACCGGCCTCCTGCCTGACGTCAATACATCTTGGGTTCAGTTAAAATAATTGATTTTCAGCTTTCATTTTCATTAGTATTTTTCATTTATTTTAAACACATTTATTTATGTAAAATAGTAAAATAATTTTAAGTTTATTTGTTATGGTTCTTACTTCAATGAGCGTCTGGTAAAATACGAATTTTGATTTTGTGTCTGAATATTTAGTTACTATTTGCGTTAGTCTCATAAAGATTTTTATTTCAGAAAACGACGGCGTAGAACCTAACAATATGTACACCGCTTTAAAATTTAAACGACAATAGACACAGTTCCCCGGGAGAATTTCGTTTTCAGACGCTATCATGTACACAGTAGGTATGCGAAGTCTTTGATGCCCCAGGGTATTCCGAAATGGTATGAAATTTTCCACGAACATATTCGCAACGAATACATACAACTCAATGCTATAATATGAAGTATATCAGAAGTTTTATGCAAATACATTTTACACAAAGTAGTGAAATTGATGAAGCGAAAATGATAGAGATACTATAAAATATTTGCCTGCGAGTTTAACTTTGAAGTGAAACCTACAATTGCAATATTAAACATACAATTTCTGAGTAATTTGGTGGATATGAAGCTTTCAAGTTTTCCTACAAGCATCCAAATACGTTTTATTTTTAAAAACTGATGTTACTTGCGTCTGGCTCGCGAAATTCTCTCTAATTAAATTCCTTTCCAGTGCAGACAAATGCATTAAATAGTTATAATTGCTTTAAGTTAATTAACATTTTGTTCTTGGCACATAGCTAGCGCCAGAAGTGTAATAGTAGTCAAAATTACAGAAGTATTTAAAATTGTGTGCTCTATACACATTTATGAACTCTTACCACGAATCAAACATCACTTTATTACCTTTATACATAGATGTCAAGGTAACATACCAAAAATACCCATTTAAATTAATGATGTTAAAATTTGAATTTAATTAATGTCAAAAATTTGTGAAGTTTTTCTCAAACACGGTCTAACATTGAATATTTTATTTTAATTCGGTACATTCCTCGGCACAGCTGCAGAGCGTTTTTGCAATGAAACTGGTCTATAACAAGGAAACTATTAGAAACTAAATATAAAGCATGAAAGTGCAAACTAATCATGATACTAGCAACTCAGTAATACGTGTCAAAGTGATAACAATGGTAGTTTTTGCATGGGGGCTTTGAAAAATGAGGGGGAGAAACACCACCCTATCGAATGGTTTCACCTTGAGGAGGCTTGCTGACATTAAAGCATACATAAAATATCATCTTTCAAGATTTAGGGGTGAGACGGTCATGAAAGATAAGAATTTATCGACGAAGAGGGTGGACGGACGTACGTAGAATGCGTAACACCCGGGTTTCCCATCGATGATTGATAGTCATTGAGTAGTTACACATGACCGTTGGAAACTAAACAAAGTAAATTGGATTATCCTAGGTTTTCGGACCTTACATAAAATGTGGGAAAAACCAATTCTTATCGTACACCAGGAAATGTGAAACACTCGGGATTTCCGGCGATGACTGATAGTCATTGGATAGTTATATAACGTTTGAAACTAAACAAATTAAATTGGTTTACCTTATGTTATCTTTTCAGCCCTTATAACATGTGTAAAAAAAAAACAATTCCTATCATCCACGAAGAAATCTTAATATAACTGGAGAGTGACAAATATTTTGAAAGGCCTATTTAATTTCGGTAATTGGCGATTTTAAAATAAAGGCAGGCAAAGAAAAGTTGTGTATTTGTAAGCATTCTCTTGGTGTTCAATTGAAGAAGTCTCTATAACAACAGAGGTCTTAAATAACTTATTCTAATAACAAATTTAATAAAATGTTGGCCAGCTTCATGCATTTTACAAGCAAATCACTGCATCTAAAATTGAAAAACGAACTTATTTTATCAAATGATATGAACAATGGAATGTCAGATGCATAGGTACACAATGAATCAAAATCAATATCAATTCGAAGTGTGATCATACATGAATGCGAAACCAACAGAACGGGAATTGACAATGATAGGTAATAGAATAAAGTAAACACCCTTACTGCAAGCTTTCTCATCGGAACCATCCGAACAGTCGGGGTTGTCGTCACACATCCAGGTGAGGGGCACGCATTCTCCATGTTTCCCGCGGCATGTAAATTCTTCGGGCCCGCACGCCTCCACTTCTGCCAACCCAAGTCATGCTCATGCTAAGTATAATGCAAATGAATATCGGGAAAAGGGAAAGGCACGATGTACCTTCCTTTTATCTGGCATTCGCGGTAAATTATTCTCGGAACGTTCCCTGCCTATTTAACGTAACTCTCGTACCGCTTCCTGCCTGTAAACCTTAAATATCTCCTGCAATTTTTTCGATCGACGATATTCGATATTTGAATTTTGACAGAACGGACTACAAAAAAAATATAGAAACATTCTTTAGCATGCTGCTTGCCGTAGCACGATTACCCAATGATTTTGAACATGCCAATTGTCCGTGTCGTATCATGCCTCCGCTGTTTCGACCTGGTCATGCCCTTACCACAGTGGTGTTCATCAGAGCCATCGGGGCAATCGGCTGCATCGTCACAATGCCAAGCGGCCGGTATGCAGTGACCGCTTGTGCACACAAACTTGTGTTCCGGGCAGCCGCTGCGTTGAGATGCTGTTTGCGGAAGTTTTATTGATTTGGCAAATTTGGACAATTTAATGTTTAACATATAGTTACACTTTTGTATAAGACGATATTTTATCTGAAAACAACATAAAAACTCAAATGATAATAATATTTCGATCGCTTAGTACCTTTGTTCTGTTGCCTTAAGTCAATAGATCATTAAAAGTGTATTCACACCCCAAATACACAGTTGTAGACTGTCGGAGACAAGTTCAAATTAATGAATGTCTACGCTCAACACGGGCAGCCGGGACTAAAATGTAATTAATTGAACTAAATAGTCCTATTTTCAACTTAATGTTGTTTTAAGTCGCATCTAATAAATTATATAAACTGAGACTTTAGGAACATTTATGCTCGAAAATAAAATGAATTTCTTTCATATAATGCAGGTTGTTCAAGACTTCATATTTTGAGGTGTTGAAATTTTCTTTTGACTATATAAAATACTTAAAACTACCTGCGTATATTTAATATATAAAAAGTAAAGCAAAACTTGCCAAGAATATAATAGAATAAACGTTAAGAAAATATTAAAACTTTATTATCCACCCTTTGTTTTCTTCCATCATACGAATGAATAATTTTCTATTGTTATTGGATACTCTCGTTAGCTTTATTTTGTTAAACCTAAAAACTCTATGGCAATGTGTACTTTAACATTATGTGGACTTAAGTTACGTCGGCACTAAACGTATAAAGTTGCGGTTTACGGTTAACGTGTAACTTTCAGAAGCTTAAATTAGACCGTACAAACTTGCACGGGATTTTTATATGCTTTCGCTCCGCTTTACTTGCTTGCTTGAGAAAGTAGTAAAGTCTATTAAGTTTTTATTACTACGTTCTCGATATTTAGTCGAACTCAACCCTTATGCAAAATGAATAAGATATTTAGATCCGAATGATTGATAATTAACGTATAATATGTTATACGTTTCCTGTCGAAGACATTGAGACATATTGACTACGTAAATATGAATAATTTATTTATTTTTTCGAGCGTAAATCATTTTTCGTTACATTCCGTGAACGCGAGATCAAACATAGAAATTTACCATTTCCTTATTCCAGTTTAACTGTTTTATTTCTACGTATAGAATAATATAGTCACTACTCTCACACGAAATGTTATTTGATACAGGGGTACACTTAGCTTCTTTAAATTCTTAAAATAGCTTGAGTGTCATTGTGACACATAAGTGAAGCTTTGGTAAATTGGACTAGGATAAAACTATATGGAAATGTATGTAACTGAAAAATATAACAATAGCTGGAACGCAATATGGTCGCGTGTTTAGCAGTCGGAGTCTAGTCTGACTGTATCGATAAAAATCTATTCAATGGATCATTTAATCCAGCAAAGGATTATTATATAAGTGGCGACATTACAGCTTAGTAAGCAATACAATTATCAAACATTAGCATGTGCTCGCCGTACTGAGGTCTGCGGCGTTAAAGCGAAGATATCGGAGAAATCCAAAGTGAAGCCGGTGCTCATTTCTTTCCGGGAATAATTTACCGGTTCGCTTGTTTTGAACACGGGAATAATCCCGCACGATTCCTTCCTCGTTCGCTACGTTATACCGAGACTACGGGGTAAATAAATTAACGCCAGTCTTCACATGCCAATTTGTGCCCGTCTACATAATTTAAATATAATTAGCGCCCACAATCGATTTGATAATCTCGATTCTAGCGTCTTAAATTACCGTTTCAATTTCTGTGCAATTTACGGTCGTTTTGAATGAAATTTAAAGGTATTCGCGAGTTAAATATGGCAACGGGCGAGGTCAAAGATTATAAAATTAATCCGTGAAACTTTGAACCGTAATTAAGATTTTAATCCGCGTCGGAAGCCTAGTTAAAGACGGGGTGCCCGAGCTACCTTAAAACTTCCCCCGTAAATTCAAAGATAATGATTTTTAGAGAATAGATAAATATACATTGATGGAATTTAGCATTATGGCCATTAAGTTATAGTCTATAGATTAAAACTCTTTTTTTTTAAAGCTGCTTGTGCTTGACTGCTATCCCACCTATAATGTACGTATAACACAACAAAAATTATTGGCGTTTTAATACCTTATTATAATTGTCACAACAATACTTGTACAAATGTTTGCAGAGACGTAGATGGAAAATAAACTAACTACATTATTGTTCAAAGAAATTACTTTATATCCCTAAGCAAACAAATTACATCTTGTTTTCCGCGAATTTACTAGCCAAAGGAAAGCCTCTACGTTATTGACACGAAGTCAAGGCTTTTCGTGATGGAAGTAAAACAAAGCGAAAGAAATCAGATTGCGAAAATTCTGTATTACAAAAAAAAAAGTGATTAATTTTCTTATATTTTCAATTTAACTTCGTTCAAATGTTTCGGTAGACTAATCGGAACTGTAATTTCGTGGCATTAAGGTCCTGATTGACTTACTGCATGTGCCAGGTTCCTCATCGGAGCCGTCGGAGCAGTCCTTCTCGTTGTCGCAGCGCCAGGACATCGGTATGCAGCGGCCAGTTTTGCAGCGGAACTCCGACGCGGTGCACGTGCGGCTTTCTGCGGAAGCGAGAGGATGTTTTAACACTCTTTTAATTATTTTTATATAAGGGACGTAACAACATCTATTCGTTAAGTGCATGGGCTCCACGTATATAGGTTCGTTATTGTACGAAAACAATCGCGCTGATTGCGGTAAACGCGGAAGTTTGAATGTATTGATTGCTCCTACCCAAAAAAAAAATGGTAAGACGGCAATTCAGGCTAAATTATCTCCTAAAAATAACTTAATTTTTAAAACATTTGTTTAGGAAAGAATATTGCATCTCTTTTTTATTAAATTTTTTCCTTAATTTTGCATAGTCAACATTTCAACAATGCAAATATAAATGACTTCCCGAGAGACTAAGAAATTTGAATGGTATTGCTCGTACCCTATAAAAACCTGAGGCTATCGTAAGTTTGCCCGCGATGAAATATTAAAAATCGCAGTAGCCGTTCGTTATAATTCATGAAGGACGTTTTATGTTACATTCCACCCCCATTGCAATTTCTAAGATAAATGTTGCGGTGGTGCGGGAATATAATCCTTTGCGAGTTAGCTTTGCACGTGAAAATTCCTCGTAATACGCGTAGGGTATTTTATCCCCGTTTTAATTTACATGAAAGATGTCCCTGGGAGCGTGTTGACGCTTTTAGAGGTCTTTTATCCTTGTTTCATATACAGCTCAAGAAAACTTTCTGCGCGCGCGTTCGTTGCCTTAAAATATATGCGTATGTAAAGGTACATGGAACAGAGTGGCTAATATTCATATTTAGAACATTTTCGTTTACTTACCTATGAAGAATACAAAGCGAGGTCAATCTACTTTCGTTCCAAATTTATGTTTACCTAATTACGAGTAAGAGCAGTACCCGCAGTAATAAAACCAGTAAAACATTTAACTTTGCTATTTGTACGTTACTATTAATAAATCTCCTTTTGTTCGCAATTTTACATATTTAATTTGGAAAGTATAACAATCTGAAATAATTTTTCACAATATTTATACAATAGAAAACTTTACCTTACAAACCTAGTGCTTTCATGCTTTGGAACTCCAGCTGCCCAAGTAGGGTAAACTTTGCGTTCTTACTTACTAGTTCGGGAAAGTGCTTTTCCGACGTGAATCTCGTTTATTTTTTAAAACCGGTGAGTAGTTTGAAAAGGAATACGTTTTCGACAGCGAATTTTCAAAGGCCGACGGAGCACTGTTCAGCTATGCAAAAGCTTTCTGAATGCTTCTGACGTCGGCTCAATACTTAATATATGTATTCAATTTACGTTTCATTGCGGCTGTCACAACTGCCACACGATGCAGTTTGGTTAAAAAAACGGTGAAAAATTATCAGAAGGTATACCGAATACAAGGCTGTATCTCCAAGCTCCAAGTGACGCGAGTCGAGGCGAGTCACGCGCCAACGAGCAATTTGTAAACAAAACGCACACCCACCGAATAATATCGCCCTCAGCCGCCGACCGAGCCGCAGCCCTTCCACTGAGACCGTCGCAATAAATTTGAGGGAATCTTCAGAGATTGCCGTATCGTGTGCCGCTATTCCGTGTGCTCAATAAAACGACTTCGCAAATATCGGCCCCGTATCAATTTTCGTTTGCGTTGCGCACGCAACTTGTGCGTTTCGTTCGGATGGCGTTTCCGGTTAATTTGAGCGAAACAAATCTCGACGGCTCCTGAGCTCGATTCGTGGCATTCTATCCGTGGAAACGCCGACGGACCGCTCTAATCCGCGGATTAGTTCCCAACTCGATTTTACCTTTTGGCAAGTACACGGATTCAATTATAACCACTGCCTAGGAGCGGCATTTTATTTCTTCATGCAAAATATCATTTCTGAAATTGTTATTCAGGCATTTAGGCAGATCACAAATAATACTTTCCTATCACTACACTTTACCATGTATTCTTGCTGTTTATTGCGTATACAAATATATTTTCGTATGGTATTTTAAAAAGGATGTAAATTTAGTTAAAATATGTTATAAGGTTATAGAGCCGTGATAGCTCAGTGTCCGGGCGCTCGCCTTTAATTCAATATACTCGAGCAACCTGAGTTCGATCCCCGGTGCCGGCACCAATGAAGTTTTTAACTTTCAGTGCTGACTTATCACGTGCTCCGCGGTGAAGGAAAACATCGTGAGGAAACCTGTATATTTTCGAAATAATAACAAAAAAAATATATATTTCGAAGATATGTGAAGTCCGCCAACCCGCAGTAGGACCGCGTGGTGGACTATGCCCTGATACCCTCTCTATAGAGGAGGCCTTTGCCCAGCAGTGGGACATGTATAGGTTGTTACTTTACTTTACTTTATGTTATAAGCTTACTACTTGATTAGACCGCTAAAAGTAGGTTTAGTTTATATCTTTAACGTTATTTAGAAATTGTTTTTTTTTTTTATTTTTATACGATGTCATTAATTTTTAGCACTATTGTATAAAACATAACCTTATCTACAGCTTAGGCTGTAAAAATGATTTCATTTAGCTCTCGGTCAGAGACGACGGAGGCTTTTTATGCGTTCCATTTTCTAACAAAGGAATGGCCACTATTGTAGAAGCGAAAAAAGTTCACCCATAAAACCCTACGTTCCCAAATCATGACAAGCGTTTCATTACAGTGGCTATTACTGCGAACTGAAATGGATGTAGTAATTTTGCTTGAGGTTACTCTCAACATTTGTGTTACGGACCCGTAATAAAACCACAAAAAATGCCGGAAAGCATTTCACTAAGTCTAATTCGTAAAAGGGAAAAATATATAAACATTTATGGAATTTAAACTTACATTGAGTTTAGAGTGATGGCATCGGACATAAAACCGTCACGTATTAATCTAAATAAGCATTTATAATAAATTAGAAATATCGTTTTGACCTCAAATATTTTTAAATGATATTTCATGTAGTTTCTTAATGCTTTTCTTCAATCCTCATTTTAAGCTCGCTTATCGCGTTAACTTCTTCGTTCGCTTGAGATGTTTCTACTTAAGAATAAGCTCACCGCGGAAGATGTCTTAAAACCGATTTAAAAAAGAAGTTGTTTTAAATAAGGTTATTCACTATAAGGTATACTAGTATCTTTTTTAGATATTTACTTTTTTATTTTTAATGATGACCACGTAACGAATAGTTAACAAACAATTTATGTTTCACAAAAATGAAAGAGTCGAAGAGTCGAACTGAAAAATATGTAGGTATAATGTCCAACCAACATCTTGGTCTCGGTTCAAGGCATTCTCGGCTCAAAATCAGGCCTTGGTCTTATTTTCGGCGTACAAAGGCCTAAAATATTGGCTATGGTTGGTCCTCATAAATTTCATTCAGCTCCCTGAACAAGCATCTCTAGTCAACATCTGTTTAGTAGATCATAACATTTATATAATGAAAGGCCACATAATTTGATAGAAAACTACTTTTGCTTATTAAGTAAAGATTTAATACCTCGGACTCACACAATCCCGACTTACGCGAACCCGATAGATCGAAAACTGCTGAATACCCTCAAACAGGAGTTGAAATTTGGTGAACTTATACAAATGCATGAGAAAGAGTAAAACATTGAGAAACTTGTGTTTTTCGACCCAGCTGAATCAGAAGATCAAATAATGGTTGGGTATTTCACAAAAGTCATCAGTTTAATTGAAATAGGGTTATGGGTAAAAAGTATATATAGATATCTCACTGCTGTGAGTGGGTATCAGGACACAGTCTACCAAGCGGCGCCACTGCAGATTGGCGGACTTCACTTATCTTCGAAATATTTTTTTTTGTTATTATTTCGAAAATATGCAGGTTTCCTCACCATGTTTTCCTTCACCGTTGAGCACGTGATATATGATATAGTATATATGATAAAGTCACCACTTAAAATTAACAATTTCATAGGTGCCAGCACCGGGGATCAAACTCAGGTTGCTCGAGTATATTGAATTAAAGTCGCGAGCCCAGACACTGAGCTGGCTCGATCTTTTGGATATTTTTTTCCAAATTCTTTTTTGCTTTAGTCTCCTATCAAAACAAAAAAAAAAAGTATACATTTATTAGGGAAATTATACCTCAATTTATGCGAATTGGACATACGTGCTTAACGCTCGATCCCAGCAATCGCGTTGGTTCGAAGAGTTTGGAGGCAGCATGGTTTTTGTGTATGTTATTGCGTCATGTCTCGATCGTTAGTCTCGGCCGAGACTAAAATATATGGTTCGGTCGGACCTTACATGTTTTATCTCATATGCTAATTTGTAAGATTAAGAAATGATAAGATAATATCTGACTAAATAAAATCTGAAACAATTCAAAAGGAAACAGAGCATTAGTGAATAATCAATAAAACCAAAAGCTACTTTTCGATTAGAACTATTCGAGTAGTTCTAATTGGAATTATTTAATAGAAATTTAAAGATAAAAATACAAGCGATATTACGAAACCTCCGAGACCATCAAATTATTAGAAAGACAAAATTAAAGTTACTATTAACAATGCTTGAAAACTTGCCCCCTACTTTATAACGAGAAAACGTCAATACAGAAACTTAAAGTAGCAATCGACGCGAACTGACTAGTCCTCGACAAAGCCTAATCGTCCTTTAACGGCTTACTTGAATTGACCTGTAAATGATATAGCTAATCCAGTTACATTGAAAACAAGTGTGGTATATATTATTTTAAGTATAAAATAATACAATCCTCACTTGTTTTCAATTATTAATGTTAATACTAATTAACATTGATAAATTGCTCGCGAAATATTTTTACTATCTCCTTATACAGTGCTTGCCGTGGCAATTTTTCTCCAGGTGCAGTTCAGTCTCAAAGGGGAACTGTAACCGAACAAGGGAATGAGTTTCAAAGAACTGTGCACACCGGATTCTGAAAAGAGTTTCTCGCTTTTTTCTTTACTTTACTTTATTTTGACCCTCAATATCTTTGAATTTCTCGCTTTGCAATATACGGACTTTAATATTTTTGTTTCATTTTAATTAATTTATTTCATTAAATC